ATGGCCTGTACACAAACGAGCCTCATTCTGTCTTTTTGGACAGATGTTGAAGGTCATATTTATTTTTGATCAGAAAACTATTTAAATTCTTTATTTTATTTTATTTTTTTTTTTTTTTTTCTTCCAAGTATTTTGATGGGTGGTGGTGGTGGGGGGTTAGTTTGGGGTGTGTTAATGCATCCTATATACCAACATAGTTCTTAAATGAAACTCGGCTTGCTTTAGAGTTCGCGAGGACTTATCTGTACAGATGTGTTTATTGTTGACCTTGACCTTTATTGTTCAGAATGTGACTTCTAGGTGCAGCTGTGGTTGCTTGTCGTCTGGATTAGGCTTGTCTCATGTGTGGATGTTTTGCGACCTGTATGAGTGATTTTGTTCAGGGTGGGGGGGAAGAAAAGAAAAATATTTCCCTGTACTGTAAAAGCTATTTTCTGTTATTATCTTTCAATAAGAAGACCTTTGAAAGAAAGAAAACTATTTAAACACTAAAAGGCAGAGGTGCCTATGATCGAGACCTACCTTTATTTGTCAAAAATGTGCAGCATCAACAGGCTAGTAAAGGGGACAGGGTCTTAAAGTGGGATGGGCTTTTATTTGAAGTTTTATGGTGTTTAGCTTGTCGGGTGCCTGTTTCCAAAATGTGTTTAAATTCTACCAAACTGACTATTTCCTTATTTTTTTTAACAGACAGAAAAAGGAATGTCAGCTTCCCACATATCTCTTAACCATAACACATAAGTGTGTTGCCGTAATGTTGAACATTTCCTGTACTTAACAAAAAGATGAATATGTATTAAACCCTTTAAGTACACTTATCAAGGTGTGTTTACGGCTCATTACAAATCTCACTTTCCGGCTACGTACTCGAACGAGCACTTGTAATTTATTGCAAAAGACAATCTCTTCATTCTTTCTTGAATAATTGCAACTTTCAAACAAAGGTGCATACAGTACAGCCTCATTCTTAACCTAACCGCTTGTTCAGTTCATTCCATTGGACAGCCGACAATGTCCAACGACGTGTGTATGTGTGTGAGAGAGAGAGAGAGAGAGAGAGAGAGAGAGAGAGAGAGAGAGCACAACTGTCTGCAACTGTCAACGTGAACAATGACTGGTACTGTTTTTTTGAGGAGGCTATAAATAACACAGCACCTGGACAGAGGAATGGAGCCAACATGTGCTCAGACACACTGGCACAGGTAGATGGATGGCAATGTGAGGGCATTAATGAGAGCACAGGTCCACATGACACATGGGGATGGAGGCTCTGCAGATGGCTTGATGTCATCATCATATGGACCTGTGTGTGTGTGTGTGTGTGTGTGTGTGTGTGTGTGTTTGTGTAACTTTGTGAAAAAAAGGAATGGATGAGAACTTGAATCTTACTCTTGTAGGCAAAATAAATATTATTCTGACTCAGAATTAAAGTCCAAGTTGTCCAAATACAAAGCAAGAATTTTGGCTTGAAAGGTCTCATTGGGAAACTATTTCTATTCACCCACATTCAAATAAGATTCTGATCTAATGATATCAAAGCAGAAGCACAGACCTCCCCTGCTCTCCCCCTTGAGATCAATGAACATCTATTCCTGTCCTCCCCACAGATGCTGCCCAAAGTTTAATCATGATATATTTTGAGCTTGCACAAGGTCTCTGTGCCGTGTTTAATGAGGGGACTGTGCTGATATCAGAATTCCATCTCTTCGATTCGCCTAAACACGCAGTTAAAACATTAGCATAATGTCTCTGGTGTACGAAGAGCACTGCGGGTTAAGACTGAGGTTTTTCTGGTCCCCAAAAATAAAAGTGAGGATTTAATGAAGAGGTGGAAACGGCTCTACAATTAAAAAAGATAGCTCCTCTGCCAAGACGTTCCATTGGGCATCTTTAAGCAGGTAAAATGAAACGAGGCAAAAAGGTAAAGCATTCATCTTGTTCCGACCAGATGCTAGACTGAATGTCACAAATGTGATCTTGGGATCCATTATCAAAGGGTTTAAGGGTCTTCCTGTTTTTTTTTCTCTGACAACTCTGACAAAAACGAACATTTCTTTTTAAACTTGAGAAGTAAAACTGGGGTCAAAGCTCACAAGAAATCTGTGACAAATGTTCTCCCTTAGAATACTTCACAGTGGGTTGACTGCCCAAGTTATAAACAGCCTGTATTCTCTTCATAATAATCTGCATTTATCACCAACGTTAGTCATTAATATCCTTCTCATGCCACAACAGCATAAGCACAAAGTAGTCATGCCTGAAAGCCAAATTGCAGACAGATTGCATCAGCAGATTTTGAGGAAATCCTTTGCAAAGATAATGTGCCTGAAGTTTGAAAAGTTTTCTCAACACAAAATAATATCTTAGTATCTCTGTTATGTGAAGGCCACTTCCTGCTCAGCGTCATGCACTGGGGTTATAAAGTAAGTCTCAGAGTATTATGCAGCTGTGTGTGAGCTGAATGTGAAAACGGTTGAATGCAAACATTTGCAGAAGCCCTGACCTTTCACTAAAACACAGCGTGCATAATGACACAACTTTGCCTCATTTGCATGCATTTCAATAAAGTCCACGCAAACATCCAAAAATGATATACATTCCCTAATTATCCCTGCAGACAGCTGCTTGACATTGACGCTGACAATCACAGTGACCCCTAAATGCTAATCAATGCTTCCATCTATATGTCAGGCCTGGAAGGATTCTGAGTGATTAGCAACCTGCAGATAATAAAAAAAAAACTGCTTTCCCTGGATGGCCAGAGTCTGCTTTATGATCAACACAGTCAGGAGGCTTCCCTCTTTAAGAAGTATCAATGAGGGCGCTGGTGGCCTTGCAGTTAGTTTGCGCGCCTAATGTACTGTACAGAGGCTGTAGCAATCGACCAGGGTTCAAATCCGACCGGTTGCTCCTTTCTCGCATGTCATTCCACAGTATCTCTACCTGATTTCATTCACTATCCACTGTCCTGTCTCGACAGTAAAGGCGTAAAAAGCCCCCAAAATGAATCTTAAAAAGAACAAAGAAGTATTCGTCTTCATCTCTGTGGCATGTTTCCACAACAGAGGCAGATGCTTCCTTCAGGCGCTACAAGCAGATAGGAAAACGTAAACATCTCATCAGTTGTCTGATTTTTTGTCGTCCCTGGGCCTCCTGGTTAGGAATCGTGCTCAGATAAGGAGCAGAAGAGATCATGACGCAGCTGAAAATAGCCTGTTTATCTGAGGCTTTAGGTGTTGGAAATAATAAAATAAAAGACGAGAGAATCAAAGGTGTTTAAGACATCCGAGTGAGACTTAAAAAAAAAAAGATCTAAATGGATAGTTTTATCTTAATTTATAATCGATTTGTGCCCAAGGTGTCCCTGAGATCTCTGTGCAGAGATCCAATCAGTTTATTTGCCTTGATGAGCTTTTTTCCACGCAGAACAAACATGGTCACATTGACATTCCCGACTCGCTGACGACCTCAGATGAACTCTCTGACAGATGGCACCGACCGCTAAGAACCATGGCAATTACTTGAAGATCACTCTCTCAGGCCTGCAGGGAATGAGCGAGGCTGCCACCAATCAAGGCGGAACTGCTCGCTACATAATTCAGAAGTCTTATTATAATTTGTCACATCCAAGATGGCCGAGCAATACATCTCTGCCTGAGTGAAATATGCCTTTTATTAATGTGCCGCTAATGAGAAAGTGGAGTTGTTGGAGCACTGCTTCCTCTCTGACTGGGATGACCATTACTGATCATTGTTTTTAAATTGCAGAATGACCTTCAAAATAAGAGAACGATAGTTCAAGGACATCATTTGGTAGAATCAATCATGATGATATCAACGTTTTTAAAGGTTTATCAAATTCAAAGAGTTGAGGAGTTTATGTCTATGCACATGCATATCTCTAAATAAGTCAAAGGTCCTTGTAAGAGGTTTGAACTATCTATACTAATTTGTTATTTTTAACATTTGGTTATGCAATTAAATATTTTTCTATATGATGTTTGTAACGGCGCCAAATTTACTTCAGAATAGGTTCTAATTTTAATGCTTTAGACTTTATTGATAGCTAAAGAGAAAGGAAATGTGGAGAGTGGGGTATACTACATAAAAGGGCCCAGACCGGGAGTCTCATCTGCAGCCATTGTGTTGAGGACAATCTCTGTACATGGTGCAGCTGCTCTACCAACTGAGCTAAACTGGAACTCTATGTTTTTCGGGAATTTCAACAAAGCTGCATTGGTACGCTTACAAAAGTAGAGGGTCTGAATATTTCTTCCACCAGTGTTCAGCTGAACTTAAGGTTTACAAAAGCAGAGATGTGATGCTGTGTCAGACTCAGACAAATAAACGGTGACACATCCCCCCCCCCCCCTCCCCCTCCCCAAACCAGCTTCTTAAGCCTGCAACAGATCAAAATCTATATCAGCACAGTCAGCAGCTGAACTTCCACCACACTTTGTGTCTGTTCTAAACTCACTCCCCAACAGAGATGTCAAGCTGTGAGTGGACTCTGGTTCAGCTGTCTGCTGTGCAGGAGGCAGAATGGAATCAGGAGAAGGAGGAAAAAGTTACATTCCTCTCATTATCCGTTATTCTCACCGCAGCTTCACTTTGCACCTGCGAAGTCAGCTGTCAATCACAGCCCGGGCATCAAATCTGCAGGCGCTCAGAATGTGTGCTGCACCCATCAAATCTGCCAGCAGGCGGTGAGACAATACCTACGGAGCCCAGAGCCACAGCCAGGCGTAATTAAAGTGCTGCTCCCCTGAAGAGAGAGGGAACCCGAGGCCACCTGAAGGTCAGTGAAAAACCCAATTACCAGCTTGTCATATATCGTCAGGGCGAGTAATTCTTTGAAACAAAACAGCTCTGACTCACCTTTGCTCCGGCTGCAGGGACCCGAGAGGTGATACCACAAGAATAAAAACATTCAATCTGTAAACTTGTTTTTATTATAGTTGGGACAAACTAGAAAATGGAAAAATAAAAACTGCCCATGGTTAGGGTTTTGTATTCACAGGGTCACAGCTCAGCCCGGGCAGTTTGAAGAAGAGTCTGCTCTGGGGGTAGCCACATTTGTCGAGTCCTGATTCAGCTTGTCGGCTGATCCCGAGGTGGATCATCTGTGGAAGAAGCACATCCTCCAAGCACAGGATGGGGAGGGACACAATATAGGAAGGGAGAGACGTGAGGCTGGAGATGGAGAGTCAGGGGGTGGGAGTCAGCTGCAGGCTCTGGGTGGGCTGAAGCAAGGTGCTGCTGCTCCTCCGACGTCTCCTTGAGCTCGTAGCGGCGTTCAGGGTGGCGTCCTTACTGGAGCAGGATGCTGAGGAAGTACATCGCAAAGACGATGAATCCCACTGGGCCGTGAAAAGTCCAGATACTGGGCTCCCAGGCCATCCAGCAGCTGGAAGAGACACACAAAAGCAATCAGAATTCAGGACTAACTTACAACTAAAAGCACTTCACACACAAATAATTGGCATCATAAATTATTTAGAACAATACCAAAACTCTGTTCCGACGACATTTTCATTTACTTCAAGAACTCATAATGCCTCTTTTAAAAACTTCTCCCATCGAATATTTACAGAGGCAGTCTCCTAACTTTTAACAACAAAAGGCTGGATTCATCTTTTCTGTCAAAAAAAAAAATTAATTAAACTCCAAGGACTTCAGAAGGATACGGGTCCAGATTTCTCAATTAGTCCACCATGTTGCACAATCTAAACAGCTACCACTGTGAAGGGGGGGAGGGGGGAGGAGGAGGGCTTGCTGTAAACTGGCAGCAGATGCTTGTTGCTTGGATGCACTCACTGTTAATAGGCCTCTATAATCACAACTTCAGGGAGTAAACTTTTCCTTCCCTCATAAGAATATCCGTTATTTACTCAAGCAACACAGAGGTCGATACCTCGTTCCAACCCCTCCTGAGGACTGAATGTTAAATATCTCAGGGGAATAAAACGACACTAAATTACCACAAGATATGGAGCTTGAATCGCTCTCTATGCAGAGAGGACTCACTGTGGTGCGTTGTGTCCTGCAGGTGTAGTTTTTATTGGCAGCTGATGCAGCGACCCCACAGACGATTAAGTAGAAACCTTTAGGAGAGAGCACAGGGAGGTGGTTCTTTCTTTCGTCTCAGGTCTCTACAGTGACACCATGTGGCGGTTTAACCAACTAACACAAGCGCTTTAACATGGAGGAAACTCACATAAACTGCTCCACTCTGTCTTTGGTCATGCAAAATCAAGAAAAGGTATGTAAATAAAATAACATGTCCAGTATGGAAAACTGCTTAGTCATTCCATAACTTTAAATATCTTTCGCTTTCGTTGATTTTTGAGCAATTTCATGTTGAGTATGTCATCATCAGCCTGAGCAGAAAAAAAATCCCCCTGTCAGATATGACTTTCTGCCAGAGGGGATGAAATACATTTTTAAAAAACCTGTTATCTGCCAGGGAGCAGATGGCCTAGAGGTCAGGATGAGAGTCCTCCAAAGTGGGCAGCCCGGGTTCAAGTCCGGCCTGCGGCTCTCTTCCTGCACGTCGTTCCCCACTCTCTCTCTCTCTCCCTGATTTCCTAATCTATCCCCTGGCCTATCAAATGTAACCAGCCAGCAGGGAGGAGTTACCGGTGGAGGGAAAGAACTTGCCATTGCGGAAGCCCAGTAGATGGAGCTGTAGACCGTGTCGTCTACCTGACCAGGTACTGCAGCCTGGGTAAAGAGAGACTGAGGGAGCTGCAGGGAAGCCTCAACAACGGGTGCTCTAGTAAGAAAAAAAAGACGCCATCAAGTCAAAATCACACTGTTTGATATTTTTTGACAACAAAAGGTATACATGATATTTATTTTTTATTACTCTTTAAAGCACTTTGAAACGGCCCAATGTATGACGTGCTGCACAAATAAAGCTGCCTTACCTTGCCTCTCAATAAATCACTATATGTGTAATCAGGGATTTTTAATATGAGCATTGGTCATCTCTTATCAGTTAGACTCACTAGTCTGTATTTATAAAAGGGTGTACCATGGTATCATCGGCATAGATTTTCATCAAGACAAACACAAATGGAAAGGCAGAAATGCACTGAAGCAGGTGATTTAGCAACACATCTGTCTTGCTGTCTGCAGATGTTTGCATTGATTTAATGACCTTAAAAGTATGAAGCGGCAGTGGGCTACAGATACTAACCAGAAAGAAGGCCTGGGCTGTAGCCAGACGGTAGGCTGCGATCTTCTGGAGGCAGGTGATGATGCGGGAACAGGTCATGGCTTCCCGCTGAGCCATCCAGAGCACCCGCTCATCAGCCAGCATCAAGTTACTGGCCATGTTAACCATCACGTCACCCAGCTGGAACACAACATTTTTTTATTATAGCTCCATTGACCTGGAAACATTGACATTCTACATGCAGCAGCTCAACAGTTTCTATTTTCAACGACACGAGTGGAAGCATAAGGAGCGGATCTGTTCAGCCTGCATCTTGTTTGCATCAAACAGCATTAAACACAGACCTGAGGGAGATACTCGTCTGGCTGTGGCAGGGTGACTATTAGAAACACATTTTAAGCATGTTGACGCCAAAATAAACTTTCATACACTGCTCGCCTGCAGTCGTTACAACATGTTAGGAGCTCCTCCACTTTTCTTTCTTTTAGCCTCCAGCTGTGCCGAAAGTGGTGACGGGACATCCTTCCTCATTAAACAACATGACAACAAACAGCTGTCGAGCATCCATCTATTTGTCCTTCAAAAGGGGGTGATACACAACTTGCTGCATCTGCTGTGAACGTTAGCTTTTTTAAAAACTTTACAGAGATGTGTAATCATTTCAAGTGCACATGAAGTACTTACATCTTTAAACTTGTCGACAAACTTGCCGATCTTCTCGATCATTTCAGCCACAAAGATGATGTCCACTGAGAAGTTGGCAGCATCATTTGTGCAGACCAGCAGATATTCTGGGAGATATTTTCAATGGACGGGGCTTCCCCAGTGAAGGATTTGCTTTGATTTCTTGCAAATCCACATGTTGGTACAGGCAATGGACAGTGGACCACTATACAAGGACCAGAGATTTCAGCAGGGAGTGTAGGGGTCAGTCTGTTTCAGGGGGGGGGTAGGCTCTGAACTTCACCAGCATGAATGTCATCGGTCTCGTTTGTGCTTATGTGTGTATTCCTGGTCAATGTGTGGGAGAAGCATGTCTCTCAATAACAGAGTGTTAACCAGAATTTACCTCAGGGATTCAATTAGAATATAAAAATAAATTAATAAATTAAGGTAAAAGCAATGAAAAGTTGGGTTTTCAAACCACAAGGGGGAGCTATAGTGCTTGACATTACAGCATTCTTTAAATGTCATCCCTTGTATGATCCAATAACAATCTTTACTCACAGAGTCTTGAAGGCGTGTTCGAGTGCTTAATGCTGTCCCGCTGTTAAATGTGACTGAGATCGAGGAGGTGGTTTGATTTGGGACCTCTGCTGACAGGAAACAATTTATAGCATCAGCATCTGATTTTATACTTGTTAAATCTGTTACTGATCAGATATCATCCGTCAATTATCGTCTGTCGAGAGTACGCGCCTTTAGAGATGACTGCTAACTTTTTTGGCATTCTGGTGTGGCTTGCAGCTAATGATGACTGACTTCCAGCCAACAGTACCCTTTTTGTGCGCTGCATTGTTTACAGTCCAATCAGCATAAAGGCTGGAAAGGCCTTGAGGACTTAATTAGTAGTTGTTTAGAGTAGCCAAGGAACCTGTACTGCATGTCTTTGGAAACCCATGCAGGCAAGGGGATAACGTGCCAATTTCACAGCAAGTAAACAAAACAAAATGATAAATAATTCAGACTGTAATTGGACAGAAACTGTTAAAGAATTGGAGGATAGAAGATTTTAGTGACCAGTAATTGTGAATTTTGGAAAAGGTGAAATATTGCCCGGGTTCAGCTTCTGCATAACTGAGCCTTGTCATATCTGACATTGATGTCATTGCAAGCTTTAAACAGCTCACGATCGTTGGAGTAGATTTTACTGTTACTCCTTGCGATGTTCTTTTTGTAGGTGTTGTAGAGCGTCCATGGTCTCAAACAGGACGCCTTTTCAGCTGCTTGAGCCTGAACTCTGAGGAGAGAGGAGTTAAGTGATCATTCTTCTGGATGCTTTCCACAAGTACCGAAGAGGTGGGATCCAAGGTGGGTATATGTGCAAGTGAACCCCTGCTGGTTTTTCTTGATATTTATGCCAATGCATAAGCCGTGTAAGATACAGTGGAATATCTTTATTGCAAGAGAGATTTCAAAACCTGGAAAATAAAGCTATTTTATAATCTCCAGCAGCAGGTTAAAGTGTCCAGCTAAAACAGCAACAAGAAAACTTGCAGCTGCTCGGTTGTGTTTTCTGATTTATTGACCAAAGTTACCAAAACCTTAACTACAAACATCCAAAGTTTACTTTCAGGAGAAAGGCAAAAGTCCACAAGACTCTACACATACAGCAAATCCAGTCTATTGGCACAAACTACATTTATGGAGTCTCTTTGACAGTGTGCTTTGTTTGGCATGTCTTAGGCTACTCAACTTTTCAATAGTGGTTTCCAAAGTGTGGCTAAGCGGTCTTTAAAACTCTGTACTTTCCCTACATGCCACCAACAGTTTAGACAGTTACATAAGTCTTTTATCTCTCTTGAGTCCATGCTCACAAACTGCAGTATTCACAATACATTGTTTAATGAAACTCTGTACACACGCCAAGAGACTTTCAACACACACTGTATCTGCACAAAAGAACAAGCTCTCTACACATAACAATAAATCCAACCATGAAAAGAGAAATCCAGAATAAATCAGATTTTCAGTTTAGCAAGCCAAGACAACTGTCAGCTCTTTGAACAGAGGAGACAAACGAATATAAATATTATTCTAACGTATAATTAAATTCCAAGTTCTCCAAATACAGAGAAATCATTTTAACTTGAAAGGTCTCATTGGAAACTATTTCTATTCACCCACATTCAAATAAGATTCTGATCTAATGATATCAAAGCAGAAGCACAGACCTCCCCTGCTCTCCCCCTTGAGATCAATGAACATCTATTCCTGTCCTCCCACAGATGCTGCCCAAAGTTTAATCATGATATTTTTTTTTGGTTTGGACAAGGTCTCTGTGCCGTGTTTAATGCGGGGACTGTGCTGATATCTCTTCAATTCACTTAAACACACAGTTAAAACGTTAGCATAATATCCGAGGTGCGCGGCGTGTTTGTTTGAGAAGTTGAAGGACAGTAAAATAAATGTGAGCTCAAAAGTCAAAGTTAAACTGGGGCAAAGATCACCTTGCAAATTATTGTACATTTTTGATTCCTTAAAACACCAAACTGCTCTTATATTATAATTTTGGCCTTTTTCCTAAACATTTAATGACATTATAGTATTTCTGCAGTTTGAAGGCGAGTTTATGTTAAGCATGTTGTGTTAAAAAGGACATTTTTGGAGTATTATATAACTTTGTGTGCTGAAAACAAGGTGCTTACATTGCAAAAAGCCCTGACCTTTCACTGAAACACAGCTTGCGTGCTGATGCAGCTTTGCCTCATTAGCAGGCATTTAAATAAAGTCCACATAAAAATCCCAAACTGCAAAAATTCCCCCAATTAACACTGCAGACTGCTGCTTGACATTGACACTAATAATCACAACAACCCCTAAATGCTAATCAATCATTCCAAACTGCAGGTAAAGAATAAATAAATCCGGTTTCCCTGGACGGCCAGAGCAGCTTAATCAACACAGTCAGATGGCTTCACTCCCTAAGAAGTATTCGTCTTCATCTCTGTGGCATGTTTCCACAACAGAGGCAGATGCTTCCTTCAGGCGCTACAAGCAGATAGGAAAATGTAAACATCTCATCAGTTGTCTGATTTTTTTGTCGTCCCTGGGCCTCCTGGTTAGGAATCGTGCTCAGATAAGGAGCAGAAGAGATCATGACGCAGCTGAAAATAGCCTGTTTATCTGAGGCTTTAGGTGTTGGAAATAATAAAATAAAAGACGAGAGAATCAAAGGTGTTTAAGACATCCGAGTGAGACTTAAAAAAAAAAGATCTAAATGGATAGTTTTATCTTCATTTATAATCGATTTGTGCCCAAGGTGTCCCTGAGATCTCTGTGCAGAGATCCAATCAGTTTATTTGCCTTGATGAGCTTTTTCCCCACGCAGAACAAACATGGTCACATTGACATTCCCGACTCGTTGACGACCTCAGATGAACTCTCTGACAGATGGCACCGACCGCTAAGAACCATGGCAATTACTTGAAGATCACTCTCTCAGGCCTGCAGGGAATGAGCGAGGATGCCACCAATCAAGGCGGAACTGCTCGCTACATAATTCAGAAGTCTTATTATAATTTGTCACATCCGAGCTGGGCCGAGCAATACATCTCTGCCTGAGTGAAATATGCCTTTTATTAATGTGCCGCTAATGAGAAAGTGGAGTTGTTGGAGCACTGCTTCCTCTCTGACTGGGATGACCATTACTGATCTTTTTTTTTTTTATATTGCAGCATGACAACGCAGCAAGTAGCCTGGTGGTTGTGCGTTGCGCTCCATGTGCGGAGGCTGTGGTCCAACAGGCGGGCGGCCAGGGTTTGATTCTGACTCCTGTGGCTCCTTTCCCCCGCAGGTGGTTTCCCACTCCCTCTCCCAGACTTCTCTCACTGTCCACTGTCCTGTATCTAGATGGAGGCATATAAGCCCTTAAATAAATATCTAAAAAAAAAGAAAATTGCAGCATGACCTTCAAAATAAGAGATTGATAGTTCAAGTATGCATTTCACACAATATCCTACTTAAAGCTCATTTTGTCTGATAATGACAAAGACTGAATTTACTGATGCCCCTATGAGCTACATCAATCTACGTCTGACTGTAAAAAAAACACAGCAGTATCTTTGTTCATTGTCACTTCAAATAAGCAAAATGATAAGTGTTACTGCTTTGTCCACAGACTCAAATTCAATATTTGGAGAAAAAAAAATCAAGCAGTGGTGCTCATGGCCTAGCGGTTAGCCCCATGGTCAAAGGCCGTCTTATTTCAAGCGGACGGCCCAGGTTCAAATCTGACCTGTGGCTACTTTATTGCATGACCTTCCCAACTCTCTCCCTGGTTTCCTACGTCTATCCACTGTCCTATCAAATAAAGGCATGAAAAAAAGCAAAGAAATATATGTTGAAAAAAAGCAAGCAAAACACTTCATATTGTGCTATTTTATGTGCATCACATGCACCATATTTAGCTGCAGTATTTGTTTCAATATACTATAAATTGATCCTTTTTGATAACTGAAGAGAGATGGCATATGTGTAAGGAGGAGGGGGGGGGTATGCATTAGTGGCCGAGACGGAGAATTGAACCTGCAGCATGTGATGAGAACTTGAGTCTCTGCATACGTGGTGCCTCAAGCTTTCGGGAATTTCAACAAAGCTGCACTGGTACGCTTACAAAAGTAGAGGGTCTGAGTATTTCTTCCACCAGTGTTCAGCTGAACTTAAGGTTTACAAAAGCAGAGATGTGATGCTGTGTCAGACTCAGACAAATAAACGGTGACACATCCCCCCCCCCCCTCCCCAAACCAGCTTCTTAAGCCTGCAACAGATCAAAATCTATATCAGCACAGTCAGCAGCTGAACTTCCACCACACTTTGTGTCTGTTCTAAACTCACTCCCCAACAGAGATGTCAAGCTGTGAGTGGACTCTGGTTCAGCTGTCTGCTGTGCAGGAGACAGAATGGAATCAGGAGAAGGAGGAAAAAGTTACATTCCTCTCATTATCCGTTATTCTCACCGCAGCTTCACTTTGCACCTGCGAAGTCAGCTGTCAATCACAGCCCGGGCATCAAATCTGCAGGCGCTCAGAATGTGTGCTGCACCCATCAAATCTGCCAGCAGGCGGTGAGACAATACCTACGGAGCCCAGAGCCACAGCCAGGCGTAATTAAAGTGCTGCTCCCCTGAAGAGAGAGGGAACCCGAGGCCACCTGAAGGTCAGTGAAAAACCCAATTACCAGCTTGTCATATATCGTCAGGGCGAGTAATTCTTTGAAACAAAACAGCTCTGACTCACCTTTGCTCCAGCTGCAGGGACCCGAGAGGTGATACCACAAGAATAAAAACATTCAATCTGTAAACTTGTTTTTATTATAGTTGGGACAAACTAGAAAATGGAAAAAAAAAAACATCTCCCCATGGTTAGGGTTTTGTATTCACAGGGTCACAGCTCAGCCCCATGTCGTTTCTTGTACAGATAAATGGAATAAAAAGATTTGGATTAAAAGTTATAAAAATAGACCATTTACAGAAGAATCTACAAACACAGTTCAGTGGCAGTAACGGTTTGATTGTTCTTAAATAGCACAATCAAAAAAAAAACCAAGATATTTCACAGTGTAAAAGCAGTCCAAGGGACGGAAACTGTCGCTACACGGTAGTTTCATGTTTCCACAGGCCGGTCTTTATACTCGCTGTATTCTCTGAGCTAATTAAAGCCACAGGCTGTCCGTTTTCTTTCACCGTGCCGCCATTTTGAGTGATAAGGTTGAGCCCGTAAGACTTGGGCTGACTTTCTAGTTCTGTGCTGCCGGGCTGCTTCTGGGGAGCCGACTCTTTACTGGAGCTCGACGTGGCAGCAGTCGCCTCCTTCTCCTCAGTCTCTACGGTCGCCGCTGAGCCGTTCCCCGGAGCGCCGCCCTCCCCTCCGCCTCCTTTATCCGCGCATCGAGAGCGGCGCGGCAGGCTGGCGCTGTCGCTGCTGTCCTGCTGCATCTGGCTCTGATGCCGCTCCCTGTAGGCCATGTAGGCGGCTCTGCGGCTGTTCCTCGCAGCCATGTCGTAATGGTGGTGCCGCCTCTGGGGGGCGCTCTGCACGCTGCCCTCCACGCTCGTCGGCACGTCGTAGGCGTACTCTCGCAGCACCGTGAGGCGGCTCGCTCTGTGCGCCCGCGCTCGGTTTTTGTGGTGCCTGCTCGCGTGTCCGTTTGGGACAGCTGCTGGATTCGTGATGTTGTTCACGGGGCGGAACTGAACCTCAACCGGCGCTACGTGCATTTTTATCTCATTGTCTACTGAATGTTCAGTCAGGCTGTTGTCGAGAATGGCGCCACCATTCGCGGCCACTGGCGCCGAGGCAGACTTGCACTGAGCTGCCTCGGCGTGCAGATTGGTCAGTTTGCTGCCGTGGGCGGAGTTGCGCATGCTCGGTGCGCTCTTGTTCGTGTAAGAAGATTCTGCGCTGCTGTGGCCGCATTTGGTCGACTCCCCGTCGGGCTTGTCGGCTGATCCCGAGGTGGATGTCATCGCCACACCCGGCTGCGGGAGAAGCACATCCTCCTGCGCCAAATACGCTCGTCTCCCTGAGCAACAAGCCTGGGACCAGTAACGCTTCATATCCTGCCTGTTAACGCAGTGATGAGCCACCATGAACGCCCCTAAAGCCAGCGCGGCAGCCCCAAACAGGCAGGTGAAGGCTAAATCAAATGGGTGCTCCTGTGACACAGCCATGGCTCCGAACACCCAAAGGGCGGCATACAGGCCCAGTGCCCCCGCTGCACCCATCAGCTGAGCGACAAAGGTGTGCTCGTTCTCCAGGGCGGAGAGCGGCACAGCGTGGGGAGCAGAAACGATGGAGGAGGACGCGTCGTGAGGCTGGAGATGGAGAGTCAGGGGGTGGGAGTCAGCTGCAGGCTCTGGGTGGGCTGAAGCAAGGTGCTGCTGCTCCTCCGACGTCTCCTTGAGCTCGTAGCGGCGTTCGGGGTGCCGCCGCAACTGGAGCAGGATGCTGAGGAAGTACATGCAGTCTACGAAGACGATGAATCCCACTGGGCCGTAGAAAGCCCCGATACTGGGCTCCCAGGCCATCCAGCAGCTGGAAGAGACACACAAAAGCAATCAGAATCAGCAGTGATTTGAATCACATAGCACTTCATAAAAAGGAATAAAAAGACATCCGAACTGATTTAAAAACCATACAAATCTCCTGCACATATTCTGATGACACTCTGGTTTACTTTGAAAACTTCAAATGACTCTTTAAAACACTTTCTCAGAAGCAGTCCCTTTACGTTTAACAACAAAAGGCTGGATTCATTGCAACGAAAATTAATTAAACTCCAAAGGCTTCAGAAGGATTCGGGTCCAGATTTCTCAATTAGTCCTCCACCTTGCGCAATCTAAACAGCTACACCGTGAAGGGGGGGAGGAGGAGGAGGGGGGGCTTGCTGTAAACTGGCAGCAGATGCTTGTTGCTTGGATGCACTCACTGTTAATAGGCCTCTATAATCACAACTTCAGGGAATAAACTTTTCCTTCCCTCATAAGAATATCCGTTATTTACTAAAGCAACACAGAGGTCGATACCTCGTTCCAACCCCTCCTGAGGACTGAAAGTTAAATATCTTGGGGATTGGAGTTTTTTATTTATTTTTAATTGAACCAATGCCCGATAAAACGAGACTGAAATACAATGAGCACACTTGAATCGCTCTCTGTGCAGACAGTACTCACTATGGTGCGTTGGTCCTGCTGCCGTAGTTTTTGATGTTAGCTGCTGCAGTGATCCCACAGACGATGATGGGTATCCCTCCACCGATTAAGTAGAACCTTTAGGAGAGAGCACAGAGAGGTGGATTGCAGATTGATCTTTTATATTTCCTGCAGAGAAGTCTTGCAGTATTTTTGGCCTCTGCAGTGACACCATGTGGCAGTTTAACCAACAAACAGGAGCACTTTCACTTCCGAGGAAACTCACAGAAACTCATCCATTCTTTCTGTAGGGATAGAGAAAAATATGTTCTAACTCTAAAGTACAAGGCAGCCATCTTTACACCAGAAGCCCCTCCCACTGTGTGTTAAGAATGACCTACCTTTGTAATAAGAATCAATTCAAGAATTTGACCCTTTGAAGCTCACATATTATAAACATTAAAAATACTTTAAACACGTGTATCAACATTTGTATTGAGCCACAACAATACTTATGTGGAGGTGAAGAGAAAACACACATTTGACGAAATGTCTCAAACCATGTGACCACACGAGCCCATTTAAAGGCCGCTTCATGGCGGAGCCATATGCAACGCACCGCACAGTAAGAGCTTCTTAAAGTTGTATAAATGTATGCAAGATAAAACAGAACTCTCAAGTGTGCACCCTCCTCTGCCTCTTGAAACAGAGAGGCAGGGGAGGATGATGGTATGATTCACTGAGTGATTAGGAACGCTGGCAGAGAGGGAAACATTTCTCCTGTGTGTGTGTGTGTGTGTGTGTGTGTGTGTGGGTGTCTGTGATTGTTCTATAGTGACAGAGCAAGTCAATAAGCATCATAAAAGCACACAGAGGATATGAACACGCAGGAAGAATTAGTCAGAATGTTCATTTACACATGTAGTCCACAGGAAGGTAACATTTACATAAACACAACAAATGATAACATAGGGAGGTTGCCTGCTAATAAAGATAAAGAAACAAAAGAGAAGACATTTCTTAACTGTTTATATCAGCATGAAAATGTTGGGACAGGTTTAAAAGAGAAACTCATGAGTGTAGACTTTCATGTCAGACTGTCAGGATTGTATCTGCAACAAGCAACAAACCAGGACAGGATGAAGGCTCTAATTAACTCCTCTAAAGCTCATCCTGTTTGTAGTGCTTGGTGCTCGCGTCGAGGCATGCTGGGTAAACATAAAAGTGACTTTACTCACATGTTACAAGATGTCTGAACGGCCTAAAATGTTCAAGCAGCTGCACAAAGCTTCAACTTAAACTACAAGTCAAGACAAATACTTGTATCCCACATCTGTCAGAGTGTTGGTGTCGTACCTCAGCATGGGCCGCGGCGGTGGAGGAGGTTCATCCAGCTCCTCGTAGCGCTTGGCCTTGCGCGTCACCTGTTTGTAAATGTTGCGTGCGGTGACACCCACCCAAAGGGCCGTAGCCAGCGTCGAGTAGTGCAGCAGGATGCCCACCTAGAACAGATTGCATCATCGTTATTATTAAAGCTAAAGGAATGTGAGTCATCTCCTACAGCAGAGCGATAGAATGCCCCTGATGTAAAGTTTGACCAATAAAATAAAAATGATGAAGTGTGGTTCACTGGAGCTTCTTAAACGGCAATGTGATCCTTGAGCAATTTGGTATTGAGTATGTCATCAGGCTGTGCTGAAAAATCATCCAGTGAGATAGAAATGCATGCCAGAGGGGATTAAATAAATAAACAAGAAGTTCCCTTCTTTCATCTTTCATCCAGGTACTCTGTGTGATGAAAAATGGAGAAGTGATGTGTCTCAGTGCAACACCATGAAGAGAGGAGCGGTACTGCCTCTAGCCATGGAAACGATCGACTGTATCCTTCTATGCATCTTTTACTGTTTCCACAAGGTCTATAAGCAGAGTGAACTTTTTCAATGCCTTTTTTCCTTGAAAACTTTTGACACACGTTTTCCCTTTTTTTTTTTTTTCTTCCCCTGCTGACTATTAGCTTTAGAGGAAAGCAGGAACAGCAGGAGGGCTGATGGTGTGCGGGTGGTGTATACTCACTGCTGGCAGACGCTCGCATGTCGCGTTTGATTTATGCCGCCTACAAAGACGCCGCAGGTGAGGGAGATGTGGAAGCAGAGGTTGACCAGCATGTGCCAAAACTTGCGGCTCACACGGACAGACCTGTAGTCACAGAATCAGAAAATAAAATCACCAAGTTAAAAAGGAAAAGAAAATTCTGCCATGCAAGATGACTTTATGATGGGACAGTAGTTTCTGTTGACATTGATCTGGAGGGTAGCTCTTTATTCTAACCAACCCATAAGGGCTGGGTTACATGTCAATATCTATGAGGGGTAGGTTTTAGGTGTTGAAGGGGCGCATTAAAAGCCTAGGGCACCCCATGTACAGAGGCTTTAGTCGTTGGTTTGAATCAGACCTCAGCCCTTTGCTGCATGTCATCCTCCACTCTCTCCTCCCAACGTTTCCTGTCTCTCTTCAGCTGTTTTATCCAATGAAGGCAAAAATGGCTCAAAAAAATAAAAACAGTACTGATGTGTTCTTACCTGTGATGGTAGATGTAGCTGATCATAACAGTGAGCAGACACAGCAGCAGTATGATAGCAGTGGCGTAGATGACTGGGTGAAGGGGCTGGATGCTTGGAGAGAAATACTCCACACTGCTGAGGTCCTGCATGACAGATTCAAATTCTCAATTAGGTCATGTTGTTCATGATACCATACCTGTAATGGTTAAAGACATAAAAAAAGTCCCAGTCCCAAAGTGTTCTGCACTCTACTGCAGGACAATTTTTGATTTTGTTTATCTCTATAACTAACTATTCAAAAGTACACTCAGTACACATTGCACAAGTTTACTTTTTCTTTAAATTTTATTTATTTATTTTATTTACCATTTTATACCTTTTGCACAATTTAGAATTTATGACTGTAAATATTATTTATCTTATTTTTACCTCATTTCATTTCACCTATTTTACCTTATCTCTTTATTACCTTATTTTGGTTGTATTGCACCGCGGGACGGAGACAAACGCAATTTCGATTCCACTGTATGTCTGGCATATTTTGAAATTGACAATAAAGTTGACTTTGACTTTGACAACCTTTTATATGGCAGGCAATACTTCCGAATAGTCACTAGAGAGCAAATGAGCTAAAGAGGAATGTTTTCTAAGCTAACAAACAAAAAGAACCTACCATTAGCAGTCCATAGTTGCCAAGAGAGTTGCAGGATATGGTGGTGAAGTTGTCATGGTGGTCCAGGATGCGGCAGCCATCACTTTGCCAACCTCCGTGACCCCCCACCAGGCTGAAGTTCCAGGAGGCAGACATGGCGTCTGAACCGCGGGCGAAGCGTCGCAGGGTGATGTTAACGGGCGTCTTTAGGACACGCAGGGACATGCCATCTAGAAGAAAACACAGGCAGGGCATGGGAGCCAGGCAAACACACAAAAAAAACATTCTACAAAGATAGGCAGAGCGGCTAGAAAGATCTTGTACATTTTGTTTGATTTAATCAGTTTTTCCTTTTCTGATAAAACAGAAACTTGTTCCAACTGTGTTCACACATGAAGGCTTACCTATCTTGGCCATGATGACAGGGGTGGCCACACTCCTCCTCTTCCCTCCATCAGCCAGCAGGGAGGAGTTACCGGTGGAGGGAAAGAACTTGCCATTGCGGAAGCCCAGTAGATGGAGTTTGTAGACCGTGTCGTCTACCTGACCAGGGACTGCAGCCTGGGTAAAGAGAGACTGAGGGAGCTGCAGGGAAGCCTCAATAATGGTACTCTAAAAAAGAACAAAAGACACCATCACTTGCTGCATCTATCAAAAAAAAAAAGAAAAACATAGCTGACAGCTCTAGTCATGTGTAATTATCTCAGCTGACCTTGTGCAGGATGCTGGAGAAGGCGCTGGTTGTGTTGCATTTGAAGGTGAGTTGGCGGTCCTGTCCGGGCGTGCGCTCAGGGGTGGGCCTCTGGAACAACATGCATGTCATGCCATTCCAGTCGTTGGCCCTGACAGCGTGGGCCTCCAGTGCTATGTTGGGAGAATTCTGGAAGGACAATGGGAACAAACGTGACAATACGACAGGGGGGGGCCTTAGTTTTTATCATGGAGGAGCAAAGACAAGTGAAGATTCCAAAGAAGTAGGTACAGCAAGACTCATGAAGGTCCGATACATCAACAGAAACACAAGAAAAGTTGTTTCTAGAGCCTGACCTAGAACAGCCAATGTTACCTGGACTATCAAGACAAACACAGTGGATGGCCATGCAGAAATGCACTGAGCTTTTGTATCAGAAGCAGGTGACTTAGCAACACATCTGTCTTGCTGTCTGCAGATGTTTGCATTGATTTAATGACCTTAAAAGTATGAAGCGGCAGTGGGCTACAGATACTAACCAGAAAGAAGGCCTGGGCTGTAGCCAGACGGTAGGCTGCGATCTTCTGGAGGCAGGTGATGATGCGGGAACAGGTCATGGCTTCCCGCTGAGCCATCCAGAGCACCCGCTCATCAGCCAGCATCAAGTTACTGGCCATGTTAACCATCACGTCACCCAGCTGGAACACAACATTTTTTATTATAGCTCCATTGACCTGGAAACATTGACATTCTACATGCAGCAGCTCAACAGTTTCTATTTTAAACGACACGAGTGGAAGCATAAGGAGCGGATCTGTTCAGCCTGCATCTTGTTTGCATCAAACAGCATTAAACACAGACCTGAGGGAGATACTCGTCTGGCTGTGGCAGGGTGACTATTAGAAACACATTTTAAGCATGTTGACGCCAAAATAAACTTTCATACACTGCTCGCCTGCAGTCGTTACAACATGTTAGGAGCTCCTCCACTTTTCTTTCTTTTAGCCTCCAGCTGTGCCGAAAGTGGTGACGGGACATCCTTCCTCATTAAACAACATGACAACAAACAGCTGTCGAGCATCCATCTATTTGTCCTTCAAAAGGGGGTGATACACAACTTGCTGCATCTGCTTTTTTAAAACTTTACAGAGATGTGTAATCATTTCAAGTGCAGCACATGAAGTACTTACATCTTTAAACTTGTCGACAAACTTGCCGATCTTCTCGATCATTTCAGCCACAAAGATGATGTCCATTTTGTCGGAGAAGTTGGCAGCATCATTTGTGCAGACCAGCAGACGTCTAGCTTGGGCCACTACATTCGTCTCATTCAGAGGCATCTATTAGAAAGATACAAAGAGAAAGTTTATAGAATGCGTCTGATTTGAAATGGTCATTACAAAATAAAACATTGAAAGAGAAAAGGAAACTAGGATGATACAGACCTGGTATATGACGTGTAAGAATCTAGTCACATCCTTTTGGAACTGGCAGCGCGAGTAGTCGTCCTCTGCCCACAGCCCGTTTCGGTCACAGTAGCGCCACGCCCGATACTCGTCACCTGAGCTGCCCGAGTAGGATCCCGCACTGGATGTCAGTCTGCTGCAGGGGAGGTAGGCTCTGATCCCTGCTAGGGTGCGTGGCCACCTGAAGGGGAAGGGGTCAAATAAAAACCACGGTGTTTAACATTCCTCATCAATGGGGAGGCTGTAGCCCTCCAAGCGGGCGGCGGCCCAGGTTCAAATCCGACCTGTGGCTCCTTTCCCACATGTCATTCCCCCTCTTTCTCCCTGATTTCCAACTCTGTCCTATCTCTCCAATAAAGGCACAAAACGCAGAATCTTAAAAAATCTTAAAGAAATTTAAAAAAAATAACATTCCTCATCATCAGCTGTTTCCTTTTCTGAGCCATTCCCCTTGTGATGTGTGTCACAGCAAGAGTCAGGAAGGATGGAGGCCATGGCCATGAAATAATGGTATTTTTTAACCACAAGGGGGAGCTACAGTGCTTGACATTTACAGCTCAGATGAACCGATTCAAACAGATATCACTATCTGTGAAGTGTTAACAGCTGAGTTAGGAAATTCTAGTCTTTTAGACAATTTAGACTCAACGCTAACAAAATGTAGCACAAGGTTTCTAGTCTGAATGTGTGGCTCTGTGTGTAAACAAACCTAAACTCTCCCTTGTTGTTGGAGACGCGTTCAGGTGCACAATACTTGGCAGAGCTCTCCAACACCACAATGTGGACGGTCCTGGTGGTGTTGCCCCTGCTCGTCCAGACTCTGCACTCCCAGTTCCCCGTGAAACCAGGCTGGATGTTCGAGATGGTCAAAGCACTAACAGGGAAAGACGAGGGAAGAATCGGTGAAAATTCTGTTATTTTGGCGCAAACACTGGCCCGTTGAGAACGAGAATAAAGAAATGCTGAGCTCTTACCTAGCAATCAGAGAGCAGTTCTGCACCATGCGCTTCTCAATGAAGATGCCTTGTGCTGCGTCCGTCTTGACCATGCGGCCATTCTGGTACCAGAGCACCTGCATGTCCTCGGCCACAAAGGAGGCCTGACACTGGAACGGCAGGCTGTCCCCCTGAAAAACCACCTGACGCTGGGACGGAGTCAGCTGGAAGGAAGGCAGCTCGAGAGGAGCATCTGAGGAAACAAGAGAGGAGAGTCATTCCTCAGAGATGGAAAAAAAAAAAAAAAAAAAAAAGGATTCAGTTAAGTCTTTGATCTCTTCAATATATGTGGTCTTACTGTACAGAGCAACGAAAATGAAGCCTATTTCTGATCGATTAAAACAGGAATTGATTTTGCACTTTGTTCTCTACATGTCTGAAGGTGTTTTTTCTTTCAATATTGCCACTTTTTGGGACACACACGTGGACACTTAGACCTGCCTTTACAAACTAGCATTAGTGCTATTTGTCATTCACGTCAGGCCACGGTTCCTGCAGATCTGCACCACATGCTCCATAATCCCTCACTGTGATGAGTGCCAAACTGATAAGACGTGAGCAAGTACAAACAAAGGCGGCTCCGGCCTGGGCAGCCTTTTCTCCTTATCTCCCATGTCGTTGCACAAACCCCTGCTCCCTAACACCAGCAGCCTCACTGACACCAAAAATAAAAAAAAAAAAGAACAGAGAAATTAAAGACACAGTGTTCTATTTTGACACAACAATCGGTGTCGCAACCCAACAAGACTTATTTGAACCTGCCAAGATGTCTGAGACTGGACAAATTACACTTCTGATAGTGTCACCGAAAAGAAGAATGATTCAGAGTGCTCAAATAAATAATATTTTAGAGTTTATGTTTTGTTGAATCTAGGTGTGTGTGTGTGTGTGTGTCTCTACCACAGGTGAGGAGCTCTGGCCTGAAGGAGGTAACGAGCTGCCCCTGGAGAGACTGCGGGAAGGAGCACTTGGTGTTCTTGACGGAGATGTTTCTCTCTTTGATCCAACGCAGCAGCCACAGAAGGTTGCAGTCACACAGCAGGAAAGGCGTCTGAAACTCCCTGTGGATGGACACGAACGCGTACAGCAACACGTGAAGCGAGGGGTTAAGTGGTGGGGAAATGCAAAGTCTCAAGTTAAGAGACAGACAGCAAGTCGCCTAGTGTCAAAAATAATCAGCAACGCTTGCTGCACTTTCTTAAGACGTTTTCACATATGCACTATGCACAGAGTCCGCTACACGACGTTATAATGAGAATATTTGTCTTTATATCAATGCTATGTGTAATCTAATGGAATGACAACATCCACAAAAGAGAGGAGAACAACATACTGACCAACAGAAAACATAATGCAGATGTTTAATTACGTGCGCGGAGATCGTAGTGGTTGCATGCAGACACTTTAGGCAGTCACTGTATATAAAAGTCATTCTCCTTCTATTGGCTCCAGTTGAAATCTCTGGAGTATATGCTGTTCAGACGAAAAATGCGGCTGTTTGCGTTCACAGAACCTCCGGGTAGCCAAATCTCCAAAGTTTTTCTAGGAGAGTTCTGTATGTGTGAAAAGGGTTTTTACTGTAGCTACATTTGTCAAAGCAGCTTTTGACTGCAAAAATAGTCCTTGTATTTAGATGCAAACGTCGCAGTCACACATTGACGATGATTGCGTGTGATTTCAGTGCTTCATCATACTTACAATGACTTCAGAGACAACAAGCTGTCAAAGGTCCCCTGTGCCAATGACGAGAACATGTTCCCTGAAAGGTTTCTGGAGATAAAGAACAAGAAAACAGTTTCAATAACGATCATACATGATTGACTTTTTTATGGCACGTTTACATGTAATCATAAAACATGTATGACTTACAGTCTGGTCAGACTTGTGAGGCCTTTGAAGATGTCTACATTGAGGCAGCCGATGCTGTTATTGGACAAGTCTCTGTAGAAAACAGAATAATAAGTTTAGTACTTTCAAATGACACAACGTGACATGTGTATGTAAGAGAATCACATGGACAGCTGCATTCAAGCTGTGTGGGGATGTTTTAAAGTGCTGAACATGTGATGGTATCATGAAAATGAAAAATGATCAGCATGTTTGAAGCCCGAGATAAAGCGTCAAAAAAAAAAAAAAAAAAAAAAAGCCAAGTTCAGCAGAGACATGTTTCAGCAAATAGCCTGAAAATCCTCCGACAGGTTAACAACTTTCAAGGTGATTTTCAGATAATGTCTCTGTGTGGGCCCCCGGGGGGGCAACCACTCATCAAAGGCACTGTAAATGCTCTGGCAGATGATTCATCATCTATGATTGATGTCAAACACGTCTAAAAGTGAGTGGTTTTTTTCCCCTGGATGTGACCCGACATGATGTCTCTGGCAAACATCAGATGGAAGTGTCTGAGACTCCTGACGCCTTTCAGCAAGAATATGAGACGAGTCCAGGATGCTCCATAGAAAGACTGATCTTTACTCTATGAATAACATCCAATGTGCAAACATTTAGAGACAGCTGCTGAGAGGACAGACTGCAGGCAAACTTTAGTTCACCATGCTCTCTGACACTGTGGCTCAGATTTCCAGAAGCCACAACGAGTAAAAAATATTCTTTACACTCCGAGATTTAAACTCAACTTACATTATATATGATTCCCAATGGTTATGAACAATGCCCTGTATTCATGGGAAATAGTTGTAAATGTTACTTCACTAAACCTCCAGAATCTAATCAGCTAAAAGAACCTGAGAGGACGGCAGGAACTGTTTAACCTCCTTTCTTGTACATTAGCTGAGACAAATGTAATACCAATAATTTAATTTTTAAAAAGTGGAAAAACGAGACGGTCATTAGAAGAAAGAAAAATGTCTTTCTGCCTGGGGTTATAAATGTAATCAAATCAACAATTCAGTTGAAGTTCTTAATATAGATTAGACTGTAAATATCAATGGACGAAGCCTGACTGACGTTACAGCAGGGAGCTCAAGAGGCTCATCGGTGGAAGCCGCCATGCTGGAAATGCTGTCTCAACCTAAGTTTCAGCGAACCTAACGACAGGATTAGAGCTGGAGCAGTTACACAGTAACAAGCCCACCTGTCAATCACGTCAGCTACGCGTCGAACTATGGATGACATGTATCATTCATAAAATCAAAAGGGATGTTATATAAAAAAAATTCACCCCCGTACAGTGTGTGCCTTTAAGGACAATAAATGTCGTGGTGTGTATGTGACTTCCGGCGTTCCTGGAGCCAGCCTCAAGTGGACCCTTGACAGGATTCTGTCAAATTTCAACACAGGAGGTTGCCACTTAGTTTTGTTTTTGGCCACTTGGGTGCAGTAGAACAAAATTAAACATATAATCACCTAAGGACTCTCTTTAAAAGGGGTTAACTCGCCCCCCCCGGTGAATTCAAGTACAATATTCTCCTTCACTTCAAGCTGTTTTGGCCTCCACCAACCCCTAAAAAGAACATCTGATCTCAAGTCTATCAGTGTTTTTTGCTGATCGCAGGTGCATCTGAATATAAGAATCACGAGGCCATGGAGCCAAAACACAAGAAGCTGAAAGACGCCCAAAATGCTCTGCTGAGTCAAAAGAAAATGAATAAATGAATCACCCAATTTAAAAAATGACCAGCCCAGGGCGTACCTCTTGCCCAGTGACATAGCTTTAAAACAGCTGAATGCTTAACCCCATTAGCTTTAAGAAGTTGTCGAATAGTGTCTATAATTTCCCTGAGATATAACATTTAAAACAACCAGGGTCCAAAATGACATCACCTTCTCAATAGCTGTTACACATACTCCTCCTCTGCCAATGATCTAATCACTGAAACGTGCAAAGTGAAGGAAACAAGAGCCTGGGAGAGAGAAGAGGCAGATCATTACCTCAGCGCAGCAGCTGAACTACATCCCGGGGTGCTTGAGGAACGCCATTCAGACACACAAAGTGATACCTGGAAAATGACTGTCGGGCATATTCTAACGTCCCAGCGTTTATGTAATTATTGGTGTTGCTTCTTTAGGTACCAGCTGGGGGAATTTACAGTGCGAGGTTATTAGTTCCACTCGGAAGAAGAAGAAAAAGCCGCCTTTTGTGGGCTTGCCAATTTGCACGGGCATTGTGTGTCGGGGGGGGAGGATAAGAGAGTCGAGAAGGAGTGGAAGGAAGGAAGGAGGGGTCCCCCCCCCACAGACAGCTAGAGGCAACTTTTTATCAAACTTTATTGCCAGGATTCAAATACTAGAGCTACAGCAGCAGCAAATGTTAGGAGACAAGATGTTGAATATTGTTTCACTTAGCAAGTACTACATAAATAATACTATAAATAATCACCAACTGCTTATACATACTCATCGTCTCAAATGCTACTTCCAACTAATGGCATGTAGCACGTTAACAGAAGTACGGACTGTTTCCGTGCACTGCTTCAGTTCCTGCCGATGATAAGATGAGCAGATGCAGAAAATAGTCTGATGTGATTAAGCTCTCGAGCAGCGACTGTTCAGCTGTTGGAGGAATGCAGAGGGAAGAGGCAGCCAACTGATTGAAGTTTGTTTTATGGACTTTTTTAAGTAACTTAAAGTGTAAAAAAAATAAATAGTTTTAAGGTAAAGCAGAGGAGATTTGATGTCTTTCCACTGAAGTGGAAAGCAACATTAAAACCTCTTTACCCGAGGCTCCTAGCAGCTAACTCTAAACCCAGACAGGAGGGAGCGGACGACTATTTCTAGATCAGATGTTAGCCTGTGGAGAGGGTTCAAGTTGAGAGGTCTTCGCACGCCAGTCGGACCTGGTTTAAAAGGTTTGAGGACAGTGATTTTGGGAATTGATGAATAAGGAAAATGCATTTTTCCCCTCTGCATTGCTGTGACTAAAAGGTGGTGGGATCTCAGGATGGACTGAATATTCAAAAGTATGACAACAAAAAAACTAATACGGCAAAATATTTACTGGAAGACACATACAAAAGATCAGTCGACACCTTTTGTGGGCGGGGGATCTTTTTTGTTTTTAGAACATAGATGAACATTGAGCTACATATAATCGGCTATATTCAGCATTTGCAGTTCTTGCATGTAAAATAGAGAAGAGAGAGTGTTTAACTTATTTTGTCTTCTGTTTGCCTGTATCAGATAGGACAGCTAATGGAAGGTGTCACGAGGAGAGAGTGGGGGAGGACATACAGCAAAGGGCCGAGGTGGGATTCGAACCCACAGGCTCCGCCAGTCCATCAGCTCTCCCCTAGAAAAGTGTTTGTGTTTTGATTCAAGTTTAGAGCTTCTGTTTGGATAGTGAAGTTTAAAATCAAAGAATATTTGAAACCTCGTATGTAAGCAGAAATGACACCTTTTGTAAACTGTTTTCCACTTCAACGACGACGAATGTGGAAGAGGATTGTCCAACACCTCGTCAAGACGTGAAAACGATGGATTCATGGTTGACAAGACGAGCTTAATGAAGTAACTCGGTCTTGATTTTCAACGCTGGTTAGACAGATAGATCGTGCATGATCAGTCATTTTCATGCTCCACAGTCACAGGGTTTTTTTTTTTTTTTTTTTTTTTACATTCTTCTCCATCTTGTGTCTTAGCTTAAAGTGAGGTCGCCACGAGGACACACATGTTTACGCCTGTTTATGACAGAGTGTGCAGCGGCTGAACTGAGCGGAGGATTAGCAAATGAGATGGCTTATCTGGATGTTAGCGACTGAAAACGAGAAGAGGAAAACCGGAGCTTTGGTTTAACTTCAAGTTGTTTCTCATCTCAAACATTTCTGTAGAAACTGCTTCATAAAAACAACATCTTAATCTTATATTCCAAACTCCTGCAAACTTTTCTCGACATGCTCCTGTTACTGCTCTGGGATAACTTCGACACTTTAGGTTTAAAGGTCCTGCTGATGTCGCACTTGACATGAAAAGGCGTCTTACTAAGTATACAGACGGAGCCACAGAGGGAGGGGAGCCAGTCTGCAGCTGAATCTTCTGGTCAAATTGGACAAGTGCACCGTGGAGAGAGAGCACCATAACTTACTGCATCACAGCGTATTTCGCCAGCTGATCATCAGGGCAGCCGAGAACACTTCAAGTTGTTTAAGTCTTAAATGCATGAGGTTGCCATCATGGTTTTGTTGTTGTGTTGTGTTGCACCATCAGTAGAAAACATTTGTAATGCATTTGTAAACCGGAGACCTGCTCAAGTAATTCAAAAATAGTTACAAAGTGAATAAAATAAAACGTGCCACATTTTGCTGCAGGCCCACCAACCTAATCTAGCTCTCTACAAACTGGGTGGGAAAGTTCGGGGTGGAAGATCAGACGTTGATGCCAACCCTTGATGTACGGCTTCTGTGTTTACATTCCCAGGGTCCGGCACGGCCTCATGGCCTCTCTCGCTCTCTCTCTCTCTCTTGCTCTTCTTCTTCTTCTTCTTCTTCTTCTCTTTTCTGTCGCTCACTACCCCCCTCCCCCTTCACAGTCCAGTGAGCGACAACCACCCTTTGATATTAACCGAGGCGGGTGGTGGGGCTAATTAAACTCCGCTACCTTGAGGCACAAAGCTGACTGCGCTCCGGAAAATAGTGATCCATGTGAGGTCTCAGATCACTCTTTCTGAAGAGGCTGCGTGTGTGATGTAATGATTTGAATATGCAGAGGCTATACAGGCAGGTATACATTTATCTGAGTGTGGCATGAATATGCATTGTGGGGAGGGGAGGGGAGGGGAGGGGAGCGGGGATTAAGGGCCTGGTCTTAGCCAGGGAGCTGACTGCCTTCCTGTCTCGCTCTTATTGCTCCGCAGCAGCCAAGCTCAAGTTTGTGTTGGCAGCGTCTGGGTGTTGTCGGGTGATTCCAATTCCCGCCGTGTTCTTGCTCCCTCTCTCCCTCTCTCTCTCTTTCTCTCTCTCAAACACACACACACACACACACACAGAAACCCAAAACTAAACACAATGTTACGTTTCTGACCTTTCCCTGGAATGACCCCAAATTTAGGCTTAATCCGAGTCAACTCTGCCAAATTATCCTCGCATGATATTCATATTCAACACACACACGTTTATGTACCACCTCCCTTTTCCCCCCCACCAAGTGTGTGAGAGAATATAAGGCCTCATACTGTCTGCAGTGGTCTCTGGCAGTGAGCCAGAAAAAACAAGGCCATAGAAATAAGACTGCTGCTTGACCGTGCGCTCCCTTATGGACACTGGATACACTCTAAGACCTGCTAGAACACGCATAGTATAGTGCATAGATAGACACGAAGCAACAGCTGCTTTAGACACAATATTTATAACCAGGGTAACCGCTGAAGGCAGGAAAGTGTCGAAACTTTTAGAACTCTGGCATGTTTGAGAAAACGAGAAGAACTCACAATTTAAATTCCAAAAGGAAAAATTGCTTTAACCACAATGTGAAGTTAAACAGACGACACACTCAGCATGAGGCGTCGCTCCACTCAAAGTCTCCATAACCCACATGGAAAAGAATCGAAGCAACACTCCAAAGAGCCTTTTAAAAATAAAAAAAAACTACAATTAAGAGTTTGCTTTGCATTGATGAAAAAGGGACACCATCTCTGGAGCCCCAAAGGGGGAAAAGTGTGTCAGTGAAGAGTACACACACACACACACAGGCAGAAAACAGATAAAAAAGAGAAGCAGAAGCTCCAAAACTACTCACAGTCTTTTGAGGGCTGGCAATCCGAGGAAAGCATCTGGTTCAATACGACTGATCATGTTACTCCGCAGGTCCCTGAGGGGAAAGAGGGAGAGAGTTTTAGGTCAGGAGCAGTGAAAGTCTGTCGTAAGTTATTGAGGAGAGAACTAGAGATCACAAATGAAGATTTGAAAACAAACACGGGAACAATTTGCTTTATTCTGCTTTACAGTTGTGATTGTGAATGTTCTCTTACTTCATTATTTTTTCATGAAAACAAAGTATGTGTAGAATGTTGATCAAGGGAATCATCTGTAGATGCACTGATATTTAAAAATGACAGAAACACCATTGCTCAATGGCATTATATAACATGTTTGCTTTGTAGCATTTGTTGCACAGCACACCGGGTTTTGAGAGTTATGACCGATCCTTTTATAATTCAGACAGAAAATATATATTTTTTAAACCACACAAAGAAACATCACACACATCAAACCTATCAAAGGCCCCTATCAAAGTGCGTACTACCTACCTAACAATCAAAAGAATTAAAAAGTGAAAATGTGATTTGAACACAAAAGGCCAGAGGCTGGTTTTGGTATTTCCTGATGGCTACTGACTCCTCCTCCTTACTTTTGATTGTTTGTTAGGAATCTGAGTCACATAACAGAGACAGGATATTAAAGACAGGTTTCATTGTGTTGGTCTGAAAGACATGGAAAGAGAATGTGTTTTGTTTCTCAAATGGTTGTTGTTGATGTTGTAGAAAATGCATTGAAACCACATCAATCACTGGGCTTTTCAAATGGACATTTCTGCATGCAAGCATTTAACGATGAAAGCCTTGGATCACCATCCTTTGAACATGATATAATTCCACTTCCACTCTTAATAATATGGTTACCGATTGCTCATCCTGCACGTACATGCATTTCTTTTTTCCCCACCCAATCAGAGCAGGTGCTGTCCCTGACAACCCCCGACCCCATCAGATCTCCTCTCCACCTCTCGCACACAGATGCACTCACCACTCATCTCTACTCAAGTTCAAAGGCTTGCCATCACAGAATTCCTGTGGTGCTCACCTGCGCTGGCACTGCACAGTCATTCATTACAAGCAAATGCTCTGTAGTCAGCACCTGAGCCCACACAAAGGGCCTCTGGGTAACCCTGCCTGTTTGATGTGGTGGACCTGTCATCTGAAGGTGGGCCGGTCGGTGGTCATAGATAAGTCAAGAGACAAAAAAAATATATATTTTGCTTGTTGGAGCTTTTTGATGTGAGCTTGTAGACTATCTGCGCAGGGTTGTCGACAGAGTAATGACAAGGCAGGACAAAGAAATCAAACTAACCCTGCAAACCCAAACTGCCAAGCTGAGTCCATTAATTAACATGCTGTTGAAAAGAATTTATTTTGAAGTTTGCTTTTGGAGCTGTTGTAGTTGAAGGAGAGGAGGATGAACCCTATCAGCCATTGGGACAGAGACCAGAAAAAGTGCTTCAATGTGACTCACTAGCCAGATGTTACAGCCTCAAAATGACATGGAATACTAGAAACATCTCACTAGTTGTACTGCTGATTGGCCCAGTCTCAATCCCAAGGCTCCAAATACTGACACAAAAAATAAAAAGGTCCCTTTAGTGTTTACATCAGACACGCCAAATGTCATGCTCATCCAGCAGCTGCAACATTTGGCACTCAGAGAAACTACTCTTCGGGTTTTATTTACGAGAATGTAGAAAGTCTGTTTGGTGTGGCGGTCAGAGGCGACGGATGAGCCAAAGCGTGCCGGGCTTTTGGCAATACGACTCAGGTTCAAGTCCTGTGTGGATCAAAAACCTTCCCAAAACCGCCTCCCATTTCTGGCCAAAACAAAAAAACAAACCATTCCACACTGGAACTGAAACTTAGGAGGAGGACATAACTGGCTGCTGCTTGTTGTTGTCAGAGAAGCCAGCACTTCAACATTGATTGATTTTAGTAATGCCATTTTAAATATATCTTACATATTGGACCTTTAAGTGATTCTAAAGAATTCTATAATAGTTTTTAAAGTTTAGCTATCCATTTGGGAAACCTGTTCAAAGCATCCACCACGACTCATGACAACACGGTAGTTCTCTGATTCTGGATAATTTCTTCAAAGTCAGAGGGAAGCAGTCCGTGCTCAGCCCAGCATAACTGCACTACAGATTCCAGAAACCCCTCACCACCACCACCACCACCACCACCACACATGACCTGGCACCTTTTACATCTATTTGCAGAGAAAAAACCCCCCCAAAAAAACAGTTTTTTCTCCTTTTACGTGCTCTGATGGAAATAACTGGCCGAGTTTGTGTGATCTAGAACTGTTCTTGAACTGGAATTGAACTGAATTATTAGTGGTTTTGCAGCTGCAGCCATTTTGAGGGGCTTGAATGTTTTATTTTAAATAATATGACAAACTCCTACATTCTCCCACAGTGTGCTTTTGCTGTGTTTGTTGGTGGAAGGTTTCCACTGGCAATCCCTCTAAGGAGTAAAACTCAGTGTCTGAAGGAATTTAAAGTTTTATGCCTTCAGTTGGACTGAATGATTGCTGACTCCTTGGGGACCCATAAAAAATATATATATATATATAAATAATCTATATTATATATAATATATAATCTTCAGCTTAACATGGTTAACTATGGACCATCTGTAAGTACTAACTCACATTTGTCCTATATGTCCAGGAAGCGGTTGGGCTTTGGACAGTTTTGTCATTTCCATACTTCCCATATCCTGTGACCGCTCCCTAGACTCATTTTTACCTGGCTACAGATTTAAAAAAAACAGGAAAACATTTTTTTTTTCCCCTGAGAAAGAATTATACAAGTAGAAAACTACAAATATGGCTCCAGTTAAACTTAGTATAGAATGTTAAGTTCTTGTTTCATATTTGCAGAAGTATAGTCACGCTTAAAATAAAATAAAAACAGTTTAACTGTAGCACGATTTGTTTGTTCTTCCATGTCAGTTATAAAGTCATGTCAATGTAGCAAAGATTAGCTGACCGCAGCTAAAACAAGCTTTTTAAATATCAGACCAGGAAAGGCCGTAGTGATGTAATTACTGTCTGTTGTAAATGTATCAATGGTGCATGTTAATGCTCATGACTTCAACTTCTCATTTTCTATTAGTCTAGCTTTTAACCTTGTCAGCAGTGTCCTGCCTTCAAAGATGCATCTGGCTCAAGCAACATCCATTCAAAACGTTCTTTATTATAGTGCTTAACTTCCTTGCATGCTTGTATTGCACAATTCATGAATAGACAATCATTCCTGAGAATCCACTGCACACTGCAGCCGTTATCCTGCCTCTGTTTTCCACAATAAGCATTCCTCCACAGCAGTGGATTTAGTCAGGAATTAGCATGTGACGCCCGCCTAGCCTGGCTCCTATTTCTATGAGGAGAGTGATAATGGGGGATTCTGTGTGGCTTATTTCCAAGCAGGGGCACCTTTGGCCCTGACAAAACACAGCGGTCTCCACAGTTACTTTGCAATTTCACGCAGAGTGCCGGATAGGCGTAATCGATTCTCTCCCTCTTTCTCTCTGGCAACTCACAGCCAGCTGCTGTCTCAGACTTCACCGCTGCATGCAGGCAGTCCAAATGAAGGAGAGTTTCTTTGTGGGGGAAAAAAAAAAAAAACTGAAGGTGGGAGGAAAGAGAAGGGGGAGGGGGGGGGAGCAAGATGGAGCGTGCATTCAAAGTGGCTCTGAGAGTTTGAGGAGAAAAGGGGAGTGTGATTGAAGGGAGGAGGGGGGAGGTGTTGTGAGAGAGGGAGAGGCTTCAGCATGCAGATAGTGTTTGGGAATCATACTCCTGACACCTCTGGCCTTGGCTTGGCCTCATTACAATGACAAAAGCAAGCAAGCCGTGTAGCAATCTCGCTTCACTGGTTGAGGGTGGACAGGAGGTGGGCGGGTCTGTGGGGCACAATGGGAGCTACTTTTGGAGGTAAACTCGCCTGTGGATTGATGCAACGACAGGCAGAAGAGAGTTTACAACCACATCGACTGGCCATTCACAGACAAAGCACATAAAGGGCCTTAAAGCCTTTCTTGGTGGAGGAAGATCAAAGCCTCTTTTTTTTTTTTTTTTTTACTGTTTATCCTGCAGGCCTGAGCTCGAAAAAAAAAAACATCTGACCCATTTCAACAGCCCACAGGGACTGCTATTTCAGATCGACACACAATCAGGCATACAGATGTCTTCATTTTCAAATGGGGGTCCACTTAAGACAAGTTGTGACAGACAATTTTACACAACAAGCTAAGACCAAAGGATGAACAATAGATCTTTTTTAGTAGTAATCATGGTTGTGAATGTTATCAGAAGGGTTCAAGAAGAATGCCTAATGTAATGATTTTTTGTGCACAAAGTTTGAAATACAGCAAGTTTAATTTTCATGATTTTATGTGATCAATTTGGCCTTCTAAATCTTCTATACTTCTTGTCTTTCTTAACCCGAGCAGGATGAATGATACAGGAAACATGCCCCTAGAATTCCACATCAGTTCAGTCATGTGTTATCGTAGCCTTGGGTAAAAGCAGGGCCATTAATGGTCTGGTTATTTTATCTGCATGAAGCCATTCCAGAGCGATAAATCACCAATGGGCCCATATGTGCAGGCCAAGAGCCATTTTGTTGAAATCTCTGTAGGAAGGAAACGCCGATGATGACATTCCAGTCACTCAAGTCAGAGTCACATGGCATAAATGAACTCTGTATTGTCCCAGGAAACTTAGACAACACAACACACACATCTACACCAATAATACCACGTGGATCTCATTTCTTTTACATCTCACTTCTCTGCCAACGTTCTCCTCCAAGAAGACTTTACAGCCTGCGTTATATACTAGTAGTATTGTGTCTTTGGAAAGCCATGAGGTTCCCCACATATTACACCTCTAAAGTGGGCCCCATCCCCAGAATACCCGGGCAGCTGTATGTTACGAGGCATGCATCAACAAACCCTCAGGGCTCCACCTATAATTAGCTTCTTTTTTTTTTCTAGTGCCATCTCCGGTCCTCCTTCATACACTGATATTCTTGTCTGAGGTTAAGTGCTGTGTGGATGCCTTTACATTTTCTATGACCTGGATGTTCCACTGGCATGAAGCCAATGTGTGTTTTACAAAAAAAAAAAATGCAACTCCCAGCTTTGACTTGTGGAGTGATTGATGGTTCCTGCTAATGCACTGGGAGATAAAAAGTAAACACTGTCATGGTATTTGACTTCAGACGTACAACCTTTACGAAGTGTGTTTTCGTGGAAATATGCCCCACTTTTATCTGCTTTACACTTTGGGAAAAAGTCACTTTTTTAAAAGCTATTGTTGGTTTAATAAGGGTATTAACTCTTATCAAATTAAACCTGTAAGTTAAGTTTCAGTTACAAGTATTCTGGAAACAGGATGAAAGTCAAGCATAAATTCCAACGCAGACACATTATAGATCGTGCAAATGACTAAAGAAAAGAAAAAGGTAATAATACTTACAATTTTTCCAAAGCTGATAATCCAAAGAAGGATCCATTTCTGAGTTCTTGAATCTTATTGTTGTTCAGAATTCTGCAGAGAAAAGAATATGAATCAATGCAAAGCAGAGACTAAAATCATTTTCAACAGCTCCTCCCTTTTAATTCAGAGTTATTTTGCATGATTGTCACTCAGATTTAATATTGGCCTTCATTGAATGTGTTCCAAATAAGAAGCAGTAGAGATATAGAAAACCAGCCGCAGCACTCAGGACACCAGCGAGGAATGTGTGCTAATTAAATCTTGAATGTGAATTCAAGAAACAGCCAGTGTCTTTTTCAACAAGTGGAACGGTGCCACGCTGCTACTTGTTGACAGATAATGATATAATGCTCACTCTTTGTCCTCTTGCCAATCTTAGCTTCCAGTCACAGAAGTGTTTACTGCTGCCACGGAAAGATCAGAAGGAAAACAACTTGGACTTGAGCGCAGCGTTTTCTCTCGTGTTAAATTGGCAGCATCAGAGCGCTGGAGAGAAGTCACCAGAGTGAGATCGAGTGTGATCTGTCTGTGAAACCAGTTGAGCGTTAAGAGGTAAACTCATCACAGTCGGATGTGTAGCAGCAATGTCTCTCAGCCGTGATAGAAACTGCAGATTTCTTTTGCCATAATAACATACAGACATAGTTTTGATTTAAGAAACTTGGAAAAAGTCAGACGTTCTGTGTGTGTGATACAATGCAACAAATAAATCTGTAAGGATCCATCAATTTGAAACAAAACAGACTCTGTGATAGATGATTCAGTGACACTGATCCATGTCATCCTGTTTTTTTGATTCCCATTTTTCTTATTCCAATTGCTACAGTGGGTACAGTTTGCATCCAAGCACACCTCCAAACTCAAAGTAGCCACATTAGTTATTGCCCTCTATCAGGAACCGTGTAGGTTCTCAGTCGTTCAGGTCATGGTACATTTGAAGCTCGATCCAAAGTCAACTGGACGGCTTCTTCACTTCTACACTAACTGGTGGACAGAGCTTAAAATGTAAGCCTCTGTGGATCATGCTAATGTTAGGGAATAAATAAAGGAATTCAATTAGGGAATAAATAACCAGTGTGAAAATATTTAAGCTACAAGTGTCATCAACAGACAAAGCATGTAACACATGCAAACAATGCTGTAATGAAGGGACAAGAAACTGACCTCTGTGCTGAAAAACATACGGTCACATCCTGCCATTGTTTAAACTGCCCCTGAGGAAAGCCACAGGCCCAATTGCCTGGTCTAACTTGTCCATAAAGTTGTGAAAGGCTTGAAGAGGTCAAAAAGCTCCAGCAACACTCTTCATGCACCATAGGTAGCTGGCGAAGTCGGCTAAGAAAATCCCACTCTGCTTGTTCATAGTTTTAAACTTTATCAGGACAAGAATAAAAAAGGAGCTTGAGAGAAAAAAAACTTCGATTTCAAGTGTGAAGCTCTGATTGCTTCCTCCCTGGGTAATAAACCAGATTTTACTATCCACTTTATCCCCCTTGCATTGCACAAGGTTGTTAAGCTGAAACATGGTGAAAATTAAGGCCCCGCTTTCTTTAGCCAACCCCATGAGAGATCCCATTTTTCTCCCAAACTGGTCTCGAAGGGTCTGGCGAATCATTAGCACTGTTAACTCCCAGCAGAAAACCAAACCCAAGCAGGGACTTGTGGTAAGCATGTGTTTCTGGCCAGTGAGGAGGGGATGTGGTGGCTGACATACATGCTAGTGGCACCCACAACCCCGGGGCCAGATTGGAGTCATTATGGGGTGTTGAGGGTTGGTTTTATTACAGGGTTGGACGGTGCGGGCTCGTTGGAGATTTGCAGCTTGGCTCTCTGCCGCTTGGAGAGAGTGCGCACACAAACAGTCCCTGTGTTTCACGGCCTTTGTTATGCAGGTCTCTGAGTGCTGATATAGCAGATGTTAAAACTCGGGGATGTACATGGCTGCAAGTTTTATCACTGCCTGAATCTGATGACATAGGCGGAGACATTGGGACTCCAAGGATTGTGCTCAGAACAACCCCCCCCTCCCCACCGGATTGTTGATGGACGGTCTGCCTCCCCCACCCCCTTGCTCCCTATCCCACTTCCTGCATCTTATCCCATCTCTCCCCCTATCCCTTTCCAAGCCCAGCGCAGTCTAGGCCTGTGAAGGCTTTTCCAGGGATCCGGCCGAAGATTTCTGCCTTTTAATAAGGCAGTTTTTTCTTACCACTGTAACTTTTGCTGCTTTGCTAAAGTGCTCATGATGGATAGGCCGGATCTTTGTAACATAACAATAAGTAAGGTCTTTTTACCTGCTTTTTGTAACATAACAATTAGTAAAGTCGTTTTACCTGCTCTTTTGTAATGTTAACAGACAAAGAGTAAGGTATTTTACCTGCTTTTTGTAAAGTGTCTTGAGATAACACTTGTTATGAGTTGACGCTATACAAAATAAATTGAATTGAATTGAATTGCTCACAAAAGTGTCATTCAAAGAATAGAATACCAATGGGATTTATTTACTATGAGGCTCCTGGGAATTTAGGAATGTGGAACTCATTCCACAAAACACAGAAAGTGAACAAAAACATCCTTGAGTTATTTGATGTTGCTCACCATCTTAAACCTCATGAAAAGTTTAAAAATGTGGTTTACAGCCTTGGGGAACATATTAGTCCGGATGCATGAATACACATTTTTAGGCTTGTGACTTCACGGGTCATCAAAATAAATCTGTGACAACGTTCTCCTTAAAGTAACGAGTCCTTTCCTCACCATCTTTCCACCCCTCCTTGTCTTAGTCCCTCCCTCTTCCTCATGACACCAGTGTGACCTTGGTTTATTATAAACTAAGAAATGTAACGTTCACCATGCTTCGTTGAGCAGGAAGGAAAAGCCTCTGTTGTCTTCAAGGAATAAAGTAGTAGAAATGCTTCGAATCTGCATGGAGATCGCCGCGAATTGAACCACCTCTCCCTCCCTCGGGATGTCTGTACCCAGACAGTCTGCTTCCTAACGGTCTGTCTGGTTGTCAGCCTGACATCTCTCTGCTGAAGAACTGTCCGTGGAATTTCTTCAGGCCAGGCCTCAAACGACCGGGGAGGGGAGTCTCTCTTATCTTGATGCATAGATAAGACCTGCTTTAGCTCAAGCCAGGAACAAGCTTCAGGGGGGGATCCTACAAAATCTCACATCCTGTCCCCTGATACCAATGCTATAAATCTCAGTGACGTTTATGAAAAAGCTGAGTCTGAAACCGGCATTTCTCCGAAGAACCAGGGCGTAATATAAATTGCATTGGCCTAGATTTAAACATGAGTAACGATGACACTATGGAGGAAAAGTCCCAATTTTTATTTTGCTTTAGAACACTCTGGAAGCACATGCCTCTGGCTGTATAGGAATACTATCCATATGAGGGACTAAAAATTGCCAGCCACTCCGTACTACCCTTTACAGATGGTACAAAGTTTGAAAGGACGAAGCCAATTGATGTTCTCTCAACACTTTCTTTATGCTTGGGAGGCTTTTTAGACGGCGAACTCCCAAGAGTGGAGAGCTGGAACTTGTGAGCCAGTTTTCGCATAGGTTACAGGCTGCAGTTGAGCTCATAAAAACCCGTCTAGAGTGACTCCTCTGAATATCGTAGATGGAAAGTTGGGCCTCGGCTCAGGTGGAAAAAGAAAATGGTCCAACGGCTGAGGTGCTGCTGACTTCAGTGGTCATCCAGAAATGGCTTTGTCCAATAATGATCCAAGTTTCCAAAAATGTCTGAATGGAATGGGATATCATATCATGGTTGAAAAATGTGGGCTCGTTTTTTTTTTTTGTAACTGGGGTATTGACAGACGTTGGCTGATATTTTTGGGCAAATACGGGCTTCAAACTGATTTATTTGAATGAATGTTTTCAGGTGTGATCATTTTTTACTGCAACGACTGATTTACCTTCCGGGGATCAATAAAGTATGATTTCATTTTATCTTCTTAAAAAAAAACTTGGAGCGATTTTGATTGTCTTGGCAAGTTGGTCAAGAAGACAGTGCCAAGGTTTACAAAACTGTCAGCACTGTCAACAGCACATTTAGCAGCTGACCAGACAGTGGGTTGTAAAATAAATTAGTTGAAACTAAAGAGGAATAGCCATATCGGCCAATAGGCATATCGATATCAGTATTGGTTTTGAACATTGCATGTTGGTTGGACATCAGTAACATTAAGTCCTTTAAAAGGTATTCACTTCAGTCAAGTTAAAAAGGGCACTTGTCAGGCAAGCCTTTTTTTTTCTTCCCTCTACACTCTCAGAAACCTCAAAGGAGACTGTGAAATATCCTCTTTCAACATCCCACAGCCGAGCCATTACAGAAAAGTAATCAACTTATAGCCCTCTGCTCTAATAGAAAAATGATCCACCATGCTACACCAGGTTAAAAGGAGATGAGCAGTAAAATTAACACAGACGTCGCACAGGCATTGCACAGCCTTAGCTCATGTCTGCTCACTAAACTGAAATGATCGTCTGGGATTAAATGAGTCCCGCGGCAACCTGGCAAAGTCGGAGCTCAACAGGTCTGGGAAAAATAAAAGGCTGCGAACAGACTCAAATTTGCAGCTGTCAGTGTCTCGCCTTTGGGATTGTGCTTACTTCTGCAAACACTGCAGAGCCGCGATGAATAACAGGAGCGTTCCTTTAGACCAATAGCTCGTCTGAAAAGCAACAAGAACAAATCCTCTCAGGACATGCATGACAGCAGGCAACTGTAGTCTAGTTACACAAGCACTTGCAAAGGCTCTGTGCATAGCACAGTGGCTTTTAATGTTGAAGAGTATAAAGGGATGAGATGATTGACATTAAGACCGGTGCATTACAAACTAATGCGTCTTTATTCAAAATAAGATTTAAAAAAAAGGACCTTCTGTGGGTGGACACACGGTCTGTTTTAAGTCGATCTACAATGAAAGGTTTAATAGCAAGAACTTTGGGAAGAAGAAAGCTAACCTCTGAATCTTTTGCAACATCCCCAGATCATTTAGATTAAATCAAGGGCTTACAATGAAAGGGCTGACATAAAATGACCTTAGCAGATATGGTTTAAATCAATATAGAATAAAAATGCATATAGGTTGTTGAACATTCTCATTCTTTTTGTTGGAGAAAGTTAACTCTATAACCTCTGTATAGAGTATACTGTATAACCTCTGCAATCTCAAAATCTAAAATACTGTATATATAGTCCAAATAACTTCTGGAGTGTTAAAAAATACTTTTTGCATGATTCTAAATGCAGAGTTGTTCATGTTTTTTTTCCAGCTAAACCTGATGAAACGTCAAATATTTGTTTTGATTTTTACATGTAAGACAAAAAAAAAATGTGTCTTTTCTTTTGCAGAGATCAGTGGCAGAAGATTTTAAAAACCCCAATGAATCACTTCCACGGCCTTCTCTTTTAGGAAGTGAAGTGCCAGACGGGAATGTAACTGCAGCCTTCACCTTTACACTGCTGAGAAACACAACAGTTAACTGCACTCCAATGTGTCATCAAACTGTGATCGCCTTTTCCTGCAGCGAGGGAGGAAATCCCAGCTTTCTTTTCACACATTAATCCTGCTCTGTTCTGCTCGGCTCTGTGAGAGCTTGCGACCAGGTGCGCTTATTTGCTCTGTCCAACCCAGGTGTTCCTGTGAATGGATTGTGATTACACTATACTAAGACCCAGAGAGAAATTTGAGCTGGGGGAGTACAAGAAGGGTTAAATATGGGCTGTTCCTGTCGGCTAAGTATGTACACAGGAACACAGACACAAACGCTCATGTGCACACCCATATAGACTTCTCACACAACCTGATTTATCTTTCCATGCGAGGTTCAATTCGAGCCCTCGTGTTTTAGCCGAGGACTACACTGACAGGGGGAGAACAGGCCAGCTGCAAACACATTTGTGTCATTTCCTCTCAGATTACTCTGGCATGCGGTATCATTTGGAGAGCACAAATGCGGGGAATGCATCGCCCATTCCCCCCCCCCCACCCCCCACCTCCTACTCAGAGGCATTTAGAGCAGAACAGCCCTGAAAACCTACACGAGTAAACCAAAACCAGAAAACACTAAAGTCAGGAAGAGCGATGGCTGTTTAGCTCAACAGGCAGGAATGGTTCAAATAAAGACGAGGTAGCATTAAGAACAATCACTTGAGAGTATCGGGGGTTATTATCCTGGCGTGAAGTAAAACCAATTATCCATTTAGTTCAACGTAGCCCTTAGAGAAGTTGTGGGGAAATCGTCTTGCGGTTGTTCAACTGAGAAGTCTGATTAAAATTTGTATTCATTGGAATCCATGCCCCCCCGAAGAGGACGGCAAAGCAGGAAATCTAGAGTACAAAAGGAGGAGGAGGGGGTGATGATGAATGGAATGGGGCTGTAATCTCACCTAGCTTTAACTGCTGTTTCTGGCAAGGCCTTTAATTAACACACAACAAGGCGTGTTAGCACACAAATTGGGACACGTCCATATAACATGGGGGGCTATAACGCCACCAAGCGAGATCCTAAAACTGAGTAGTTTAAAACGTCTGTGTGGCATTTGGGGTAAAGTTAATGGCATTTACTATCTTTTTTTTTTTTTTTTTTTACACCCAAGTGAATTTACAGAGCGAGCTTTCAAATGCCATTCAACGGCTACATAGGGAGGGATCTACTTCGGCTCAACAAGTAGAAGTAATGGCCGGCAATCCTCAAGTGTGAGAAAGTGTTTTGTAGAAACGACTTAAGTTCACAGTGGACCAGACCAGCTGTGCCCAGGCCCTGGTCAACCCCACCACAAGGAGTTGGGAGAGTCATAAAACAGGACCACCTCACCTAACGAGTGGGGCTCAGCAATTCCACAGGTCATGAAATTAGCACACAGAAACTAGCATGCAGTCCACCAGGGCTGCAACTTGATTGTTATACAGTTTGCTTGGTCAATGGTTAGGAGTATAAAAAGGTAATTTGCTCAAAGAAACAAGTTGTTAAATGCTCATCAAAATGTCCCAGAGCCCAAAGTGATGTTGCTTCTTTTGTCAAACCAACAGTTGAAAAGTCAAGACTTCCCATTGACATTTCACCGAAATCAATTCTTAAAATATTTGGTGATCTGTTTTGTTTGAATCGTTGTAGTGAACATAAAATGTTGTCAAGTCTTCAAGACCAATTTCTACTTGAAAACTTCTGTTGTTTTCCTCCAGCATGGATGACAGCAAATGTCCGAATACAAAAGAGGCGACAGGAAAGACATTCCAGAGAGGTGCACTGCTGTCTCTGTGCTGTCTAATCACGTGTGTCTTGTTCTCCAGAGGCCATCCTCCACATTACACTGTCTCTGAAGATGAATGCAAAATCATAAAGGAACGTGGCTCGAACTCCAATCCATCACTGTCAGAATAAGACGACAGAGCAAACATAGGGACAACATGGATGAATTACTTGGCGGTACATCAAGGCCAACAAGACCTGCCTGTACTGAATATCTGAAAGGGACACACGGCTAAATCCATAACAGAATACTTGCAAGTTAGTCCGATTAGATTGAAGAGATATTTCCAGATAAAAGAACCTTAAACCTGTTTTCTGTAGTCAACAATTAAAAAGACTGTGACGATAAACCAACACTGTACAACATCCCTGCAGAAACACGATACTAAGCATGTGCTTGCATCCAAATTTCAATGGATCAACAGCGTCATTTTGTTCGGAAATAAAGCTACAGATGTATGGCTCACTGAGAATAGTCAGCTTGTTTTTTTTTTGTCATTATTTATAAACCTCAAAATGCCAAACTTTTGGAAGGGCTTCAAAGTAACGTGCATTGCGATTTGTGGTTAACAGGTTAAAACCTGCACACCCTCTTCACTTAACAGACAATCTTCTCCCTTTTCTTCGCCCTTCCTGGAGTCTATTATTTGCTTTCTGCTCTTGCACCCTGCCCCTGGTATTCTCAGATTTCTCCCCACATCACTCACCACTATAAGAGAAGCACAAGTGTACTGGATGCACAGCTTTGGATGTCTGTCCCTCTTTCTAGTTCAGCTGTTGTTGTTTTTTTTTGGTTTTTTTTACCCTTTTTTGTCAACTTCTCTTTTATAAAAAATGCCTTGTGAAATAAAAAATGATTTCATGATTCGGTAATATACAGAAAAGGTGTAAAAAATAATAATAATAATCCACAGGCACATTTTATGAACTCAATTAATGAGGTGGTAAATAGGTTAAAGGTGAGTGTGTGTGTGTGTTTGATCACACTGAGTAAGATGAACAAAGTGTATCAGTGACACAGGTGGCATTCTGATTGGATGCTGTGGAGGACATTCAATCAAAACTTCTGATCCAACATTAAGAATTGAACCTTTTTAAACACAAACATTGCTGGTTAGTGACCTAAAGTTAAATCTAACAACTAATAGATTATTTACTTAAAAACACATACCACATAATTTCTACCCCCCCCCCCCCCACGAAGAGTTTACACTAAAGAAAGTAAAGAAGCACATAGGCTATAGAATCAAGTATGTGTGGCTAAATGTGTCATTTTTGCATATTGCTGTAAAAAAAAAAAAAAAAAAAAAGATTAGCAGGATTGAAATTAAAGCACATATGAATTGAAATTCAAAGCCTCTCTTCCTTTTTTTTGGGGAAAAAATAGACTGCAGTTTTAGTAGACTTAAGGATAAAAAAAAAAAGTTTGAAGCCCCTGTAGTGACCGCAAATAAACTATTTATTACTGGACAATACATGCAATAGAAGTTTTTACCCTCAACTGAATAACAACTGATCAAATGAGGACATGATTTGAAGTTCAGTGGGGGGGGGGAACTGGTGCAAGGTAAAATAGATAAATAAGGCTGCTAAACGGGAGGCTATACTTACAGTGTGACTGTCCTGTTGGGGAAAGAGTCCGGAGGTAACACCTGATGGAGCTCCATGTTGCTGCACACCACCTTTCGGTCGGACTGCGGGCTTTTCCCACCGCTTTTCGGCCGTTCATCATATGATTTGCAATCAGATGATGCCGCCGAGCCTGCGCCGCCACGGAGCAGCAAAACCACAAACAACTGCAACAGATCCACCCTCATTTTCACACACGACCACGGAACCGCCGCAGCATTGGCAGAGAAATATTATGTTTTGACACTCAAAAAAAGGGGGGGGGGGGCAGATACTGTACAGCTCTGCTATTTAAAAAAAACAAGATATCCAGACCCGGCTAGAGACATTTTCCAGCATCTTGTTTGGGCTCAACAGAGCCGTACCTCCTCCATTTCTCTCGCAAAGCTTTCCCTTTTGCCCGGTCAGACAGAAAGAGGAGCCCTTTGTTTGCAAACGACTCCCTTTTAATTCCCTTCCCATGCTGAAATGGTGTTCATTCTCTGCAACTCCTTCAAGCCAACGCGTTTAAACGCTGCGTATGCTGGGCTGGCTGGTGAATAACTTATCCAGTAGTTGAGCGGGTTCCTTTGTCACTCATGGCGTGGGACCGACTCACAGAGTTATCTTTTTCCACGGGAGGCGGCTGCTGTAATCCCAATTTTTTTTTATCCGTGTGGAACTTCATGAAACACAACCAGGTTTCTTTTTCAAAACGCACACTTCCATCTCCCTGTACTTTGGACCGCGTCGAAGACCAAACAAGAGGGGAGGAAACTTTTCTCCTCTCTTCTTTCCCCACACACCGACAGGAAATCACTCAGGGAAGGGAAAACAAAAGCGATACAACAACAGAGTGTTTTCAGGTTCCGACCTGCGCTACAAATGCTCGAGAAAAAACAAAAGTCAAGAGCTCTGCGTTGTTAGAAAAAACAAAGTATCCATGTAGTTGCTGTTTCTCTTTCAGCTCTCACTGAGTCTTCGTAAAGTACTCAAAGCTAGTTCCCAATCCGTTGGGAAGTCCTCCTCCCATGGTCCAGCCCCACTGTTGTGAAGCCACAGATAGGATAATTCACACCATATCCGGTTTCCACTTCAGAATAAAACGCTCTTTCTTTGCTTTATTTCCGGTTTTCGATGTGAAAGTTGCTTTAAATTGCTACACGAATCAAATTCTTCTATCTGAGCTGCTAGGCAAAGGCCCACTTCTCCTCGAGGGTATAGTTCGTTTATTTACCCTACACAGGTTTACCCTACATTTAGGCTTTCTCTTTCTCTCTGATCATTTTGAATGTAAAATCTGCATGAATATTTTTTTATTTAATTTTAAAGGCCTACTTCCTACAATTCTACAATTCTACCTACTACTTCCCAATGTTCATTTGGTAGCCCCTACTCAAACTGTGTCAATTCTTCTGAAGGCTTCACTTAACAGCTGTGTTTTATAATGTTTCCAAAAGGTTGTGTCTGAGAGGACATTTAGCTGATATGTTCTGCCTTTGGCAATCAATCCATTTTCTTTGTTATGATCCAGTCAAGTGATCACTTTGTTCAATAGGAAAAACGACCTGGGCATAGAACTGAAGTGATTACAGGTCAGGGAGCATATGCCCTTAAGCTGTAATGCTTTCACCTTCACTCTTTATTTATTTTTTTGTCCACACAAATACAGGATGTCACATGCAGGAACTTAAAGCTGATAAACAAGTTGTGTTTTGCTACTTTAACTCCGATAGATCATCACAGCGTATGAGAGGATTAAGTATTCTGAATAAAATAGATTCCACAACATTTAAAATGTTTTTAAATATCAGTGTGCACACGTCTTTACACTTCTCCCATATGAACACATGAGCTCAATAGAAGGTAATCTCTTTTAAATCATGGATGACAATTATTGCTTGTTTTGTTGCCTAATTATTGAGCCTATTACTACAGTAAGTTAGTTATTTCCATAATACTTTGTTTCATATTATTGCCGTGCATAATGCAAATTGTGACATATGCCTTCTTCAGTATTATGCTATATTATAATATAATAGATCATCTTTTTTTATTATTATATCGTCGTTTTATTTATGCTCGAAAACAAGTCAAAAAGTCACAAAGTGGTCCGTGCACGCAGCTCCAACTTTACGTTTACAAACCTGAGATTGTTTTCCAGTTATCGCGTTATCACCATAGACTGTAAGGTTTACACCTACACGCACTCACGCACGCGCGTCATCAAACACCATGGTAACAACCAACCGAGGCTATATAAGGACCGCAGACCGTTCAACTTTCCCCCTTTTGCAATTGAACTTTGACGAGAGTTGACCTTTTGCAAGACCTTGCTGGAAAGCTAACTATTTAAAAGCGCTGCATCAATATCTTCTCCAAGAACACTTCTTCTAAAACAACAGGAAAGAAAAGAACTTCTTGGACTCAGTGGGACACCTATCGGGGTCACCAAAGAGCTCGGAGATCACCTTCAGCGGACCGGTGATGGACGAGGAGCACCTGTCCGCCCAACACTTGTCTGACAGCGGTGGAGGTATTTCAAATGTGACCTTTTTTTTTTTAATCATTGACATTTCACTGATTAATTTATTAATCTCCATAAACGCTCTGACGTTTTATCAGTCAAACCTTTTTTTAAATGTGAGATTTAAAGTCGAGAGCTCTCATGATGTTATTAGGGCCTCAATGAAAAAAACAAATGTTTGGTGAACTTTGATTTTCTCGCTGTTTTTCCTGTGTAAAAAAAACCTTTTGATTGCTGTAATGTCTGAATACTTAGCGCGCCAATTGTGGACTCAATTAGGAAGTGTCGGGGTGATTTGAAATACTGTTATTTTGGTTTAAGAGCAACAATTTTGTTCGGAAATTAAACATAAATTATCTGAAAAAGATGGCGACCAAGCCAAATTTTGTAAAATGCTAAATATATTATTTAGTTTTGCACCATGGAGACCATCATTCGGGAGATCCATGACGTCAGAACGTCAGTGTCAGTAACTAGGCACGTTCTTATCTCAGTACGTTTGTTGATGTGGAGATAATATTAAATTATCTTGTGCTTTTATTTTCAAGCTGTTTCATTACATCAAATTACGATCATGGGTTTATATTCATTTAGGCCTACTATATTTGAGTTCAATGTCATAATTCATGCTTTCAATTGCGATTTTTTTATTAAATCAAATTGAATCAAATTTGATACAGTGGCCTATCAAATAGTCCCTTCTTCCTATTAAAGCTCTGAGCTGGTTGGAGATTCTTCTAAGTAGACTTTATTTTGCCTATTTTTAGAAAATCCTAGAATTGTAACATTTGTCAGTGTTATGTTTGTTTATCCATCATGTATGTAAATCCACCAGTAAAACAGGACTAATCTATAAAAGGCTTAAAAAAATGACCAGATTGTAGATTTCTGGTTTATAACCTGGGTCTTCTGACGTATATATATATATGAACATCCTTGTATGTATGTTTCATAAAGTGTTGCATGAACGCAGCTTAAAAAAATCATCAAAGTAGAGCGTCACAATATTTTGTATCACTGTTAAAGGGCCTAAGGTTTGTGGCTGGTTTGGGATTGTTTAGGCTGCAATCTTAGTCAGTATACAGACAAATGAAGTGCTTACTTTACACAGATGTTGTTATTTAATCAGACGTTGTTACATTTTGAAATCAGGTATACTGACGCTTTATTTTTGTCTCCCTCAGTGGTACGTCCTGACGGCCTCCCCGAGATGATCAGCATCAGGATCGTGGACGACGATGATTCTGAGGTAGAGGTAGGTATACCAGAGGACACTCCCCCAGTGTCCTCTGGTGATGGAGAGGAAGTCATCTGGGTCTTGGATGACGAGGAGGAGGACCAGGTAGAGGTAGGTATATCAGTGGACATTTTTTCAGTGTCCTCTGGTGATGAGGAGGAAGTAATCTGGATTTCGGATGACATGGAAGCAGAGGAAGAGGTAGGTAGACCAGGGGACATTTCTCCAGTGTCCTCTGAGGATGAAGATGAGCATGAGGTGAGCGGACAGGAGCATGAAGAGGAGAACGAAGAGGAGAGGGGACAGGAGCATGAAGAGGAGAGTGAAGAGGAGACTGAAGAGGAGACTGAAGAGGAGAGCGAGTATGAGGAGGACTTTTCAGACTCGTTCAGTGAGGATTCTGGGTACGAATCCATGTATGACTCTGAAGAGGACCTCGAAGATGAAGCTGAAGAGGAGGACAACAGATCTCTCTCCCCTTTGGACCAGCAGATACCGGAGGATTTCTACCAGAGATGGCAGCAGGTGTCTCCTCCTGTTCCTGATGCTCCTCCTCAGCTGCTGACTGTCCGACATCCACAGGAAGAAGATCCTACCTCACCTTCAAGAGCAGAAGATAGTGCTCCCTCAACCTCAGGCCTCAGCTCCTCCACCAAGAGGAGCAGGGAGGAGATCCTCACAGAGCAGGTAAGTAGTAAGAGGCCCAGGTGTGACTGTGAGGAGAGTGCTCCCTCAACCTCAGGCCTCAGCTCCTCCACCAAGAGGAGCAGGGAGGAGAGCTACACGGACTCCACTCCATCCACCTCAGGCTCCTACAGAAGAAGAGGATTCTGGGAGTATCCCCCTGTGGTCGATGACAGTGATTCTGATTTGGATGACAGCCCTGATTCCACCTCTGCAGTAGAAGAGGAAGCCAGACCAGGGGACATTCCTCCAGTGTCCTCTGAGGATGAAGATGAGGATGAGGTGATCGAAGAGGAGAGCGAAGAGGAGTATGAAGAGGAGTATGATGAGGAGTATGAAGAGGAGTATGATGAGGAGTATGAAGAGGAGTACTATGAGGTGTATGGAGAGGAGAGCGAAGAAGAGTGGGAAGAGGAGTACTATGAGGTGTATGGAGAGGAGAGTGAAGAAGAGAGCGAAGGAGAACGCGAACAGGAGTTCGAAGCAGAGAGTGAAGAAGAGAGCGAAGGAGAACGCGAACAGGAGTTCGAAGCGGAGAGTGAGGAGGAGAGCGAGGACGAGAGGGAACAGGCGACCGAGGACGAGGGTGAGGAGGACTTCTCAGGCTGGTTCAGGGAGGATTCAGGGTATGAGTATGACTCTGAAGAGGACCTCGAGGATGAAGATGAAGAGGAGGACAACAGATCTCTCTCCCCTTTGGACCAGCAGATACCGGAGGATTTCTACCAGAGATGGCAGCAGGTGTCTCCTCCTGTTCCTGATGCTCCTCCTCAGCTGCTGACTGTCCGG